AAAAAAATGTTCAGAGGTTGAAAAAAGAGGTTGAGGGGTTGAATAAATAGGTTGAGGTGTTGAAAAAATAGGTTAGGGGGTTGAACAAATAGGTTAGGGGGTTGAAAAAATAGGTTAGGGGGTTGAAAAAAGAGGGCGGGGGGTTGAAAAAAGAGGTGGAGGTTGGAAAAATAGGGTCGGGGGGTTGGAAAAATAGGTGACCCAAAAAGTAAGGCCTTCCTGCCATGAAGAAGCGCCCCACCAAGGACACCAAGCTTATGCCAATCCCGTTTTGGCTTTGGCGGGTGCACAGGTGCCTGCGGCACCGGCGGCGGTGCGAATGGTCGCGGGAAACTTACATTCGGGCTTGTTTGGTACACGAAGTATTGGTACCCATAGTATTTGCACATAGTATTGGTACCCATAGCTTGCTTGGTTGAGTTTTTCGGCACATAGTATGGGTTCTGATCTTCCTTGTGGATCCCATCGTTCGCGATGCACAAGGCTCGCAGGAGTTGTGCTGAGGCTGCTGTTTGTGAGGTGTTCGTTTGACAGCCTCAGGCTCACAGAGCCGATTAATTGGTCGTGTTTTGGTGAGCTGGACGCGCTGCCCCCGGCCACGTGCCGAAGGTGGACCATGCGTCAAGTTGCAAGGCCAAACGGTTGACCTCTTCCCATGTGCAACCCCAACAAATCCAGCATTTGCTATTTTGAATGCTATTCACATGTTGGGGCGCATTGACGGTCGGGCTTGGGGCAACGGCCAGAGAATGAGCGACTGGTTGGACGGCAGGGTGCTGATCGAACTAGGACTGGAAGTGCCCGGTGTGAATGCCCTTTGTCAAATCTACAGGGCATACAGCCACACTTACCAGGACCTTCAAAGTGACCTCTTTGGAGTCTCTAAGTGACCTCTGTAGGGACTAAGTGACCTCATTCTAGGATCTCTGTCAAGTTCGGTCACTCTGAAGGTCCTGGTACATGATTAAACCAGCACTATCGATCCTCGGGAGCAAACCCGCGAGCCGCCAGGTCGGCCGGTGTCGGTGGACCTTCGGCGCAGGTCCTCTACATGTTTGCCTGGTTCCGCAGTAGCGGTGAAATCCTGCGGGCGAACGTGGCGAGTGCCGCGGAGCTCTTTGAGCGGAGCATTTTTGCGAGCCCATGCCAGCTGGAGCAGGGATGGGGACAGAAAGGTTCGCAATCGTGTGCGCACATTTGGAGGACTGCCGAAATCGCATCAGAGAGCCTTTGTTCCCTGATCCAGTGATGTTAGGAAGGTCATTGCCCATCAGTATCAGCATTCATGTTTTTCAGTGTGAAGTGATGACGGGAGATAGAAGAAAGGAGCTGAGGATTTGAAGCACTTTTTTGTAGCCATATGATCTTAGAAGGAGATTGCCCTGTGTATGGCGGCCTCCGAATAGACACAACCAAATCCCAAAAGCACTCCTTGGCGAGACAAATCTAGAAACCTGCTCCTGTCTAACTGCAGACCTATATCACAGCACACTTTGGGAGCATACTATAGCCATCATAATTCATAATCATCAACCTCTGTCTTGAGACCTTTGTGAGAGATGATGTGTTCTGAATGAAATTCATCGACCGGGCGGAAGCTGGAAAAAGACTTTAAACAGAATCAGCGGACCGTCTCAAACACAGCCAGGGGCCCCTTTCCGGGTTGAGAAAAAGTGATCTTGACGTTTCGTCACTGTTCCGCCACGTTTCATGCTTCTATGACGAACTGGACATGCGTTTTTGTCTGTGGGTGCATCTCGTTTCGTGCATGAGGCCAGCCGGAGAATGAGTTCGAGGTCTGGCACGAGAATGCCTGTGACGCTCGGGTAGGATTGGGAGCCAATGGCGCTCGGAACCCGCCTGGCGCAGTCCGCAGTGGTCACATCCAAATGCAACCACCCGGCTCTACAGTCTACAGGTAAGGTTGCTGGGCCTTAATTAGCAGGTCTCAATTGGTGACCTGTTGTAGGGTGCTGGTAATGTCAAATATCCGAACAACAATACCAAGAAGAAGCTTGGCCACAGATTCAGATACTGTAGTTATATATGTACATGCACGAAAACACCTCGCGGATATGCTTGGATGTCTTGGTCAGTGTGCCATTTGCTCCGAACACATTGCACACTGCGCAGGTGGAACTCTCGAGCTTCCGTGGGATTTCAGATTTGTTCATCCGCTTCCAGTGTTGTGGGGAGGTGGGGTTCAAACTCGTTGTCTTCAGTCATGTTCAGGGTGCATCCCAGACAATCCATGCATGTGTTCCTACAGGAGGAGGTTTGAGGGGTTGAAGGTACGGCACATCTTCCGATTGCAGAGGGTGTTTGTGGCTATTCTGGTCTTTAGAATTCTCACCATGGATTTCTGGCCGTGCAAAGAGAGTGGATTCACCACCAAGGTCTTCCATGTATATATCTAAGCTTGGAAGGACCCCTTTGAGCTCCACCATCCTCAAAACTCGATGCGTTCAACGAATCGCATGCCAACGAATCGATGCCTGTGATGTGTGTGTTTTTCCAGTGGGGAGACCCGCCAGGCAGTCCGAGCCCCCGGAAGGTTCGGGAAATAGACAAGTCAGGGGTGTCTCCCTATTCAACATGCACATGTGTCAGTGATGTCTCAAGGATATCCGCTGGACCCATGCGATCCTCCTGTACCACTGGCTGTCCCAGACGGAGCCTGGCTGGAGTCCCACTGCGCAGCTCTACGCACGGAAGTCCGAAGATCTGTTCCAGGGGATCAAGCGGGTGAAGAGGTACAGTGCCTGGGCAATGTGAAAAAGAGGTCCCAGAAACATGTGGAATAGAAGGCATGGAAGGAGAGTCTTATTGGCGTGCTTTTTCCGGGGCGGTGTGCACGTTCTGAACACAGACACCCATCTCTTGGATGATCTTGGATGTGGCAACGGCATCACTTGGGTGCTTTGGGGATTTGATCCCGAATCGATCTGTGCTGTTTTGTATTTTTGTGCTCATCCATGCTCCATCTAATTGAATTCTTTTGGACTCCGGTGTGGGTGTTTTTTTCTCATCGGCGCTCTGCTCTTTGCCACGTCAACCCCTTCGTCGCACCGTGAAGATCGCTTCGCACTGGCACACTCGACCTGCTTTCGTTCGAAGCCCCGCGCCCCCGTGTCTTAATCCAGGTGTGGCGGCGGAGGTGTGGAAGAGCCCAGCGCACATCAACTTCAACAGCCGCTTGGCGCGGCAGAACCCAGCAGAACCGAGCCACGCCAGCAGAACCGGGCGCGGTGTTGGATGCACCAACCTTGAGACCTCGAGATACCCCCTTGGTATTGAGCTCCTGTTGTTGAGCCGGGCAGGTTAGGTTCCAGTTTTTTTCCTGTTGGTCAGTCATTTGGTGAAGAGGCCTCGTTCCAGGGTCGTGGCAGTCGACCTGGATTCGGTTGTGATACCGACCGGCCCTTCAATCTTTTAAAAGCTTGGAGGACCTTCCAATCTGGAAGAAGTTTTTTGTTTCCTTCAATTGTCCCAAGTGTTACAGGACTGCTGCGCAGGGAAGAGGTTAGAAAGATTGGCAAGAAGAAGTGCAGGGGTGGAGGGGTTGTGGCACCGAGTTTGGGCCGCGCTATGCCATGCTATGCCATGCTACTTCTGACCAATATTCAATATATAATTATGGGGCAGAGTGAGATGGGCAAGCACATAGCACATGTCACGCTTCACATCTGTGCCAAACGTTGGTTCCATGGCGCCCGAGTGATGTGGTGAGGTATCATCTTTGCAGGCAAGCCCTCGAGACCAGTGTGGAACACCCAGGAAGTGCCTCTGGGGCGCTGGCTGGACGCCCGGATGAACCGATGGGCGGGCGAGAGCCTCGAGCCTCTCGGGCGCACCCGTGAATTAGCGCCACATGGAGCTTGAAGGTTTACTAAACAGGTGGTTCATGACCAACCCATAGTTTCTTTTGTTTGGTGTGAGCAACATTGGGAATTGACCCATGGCACGGTGTAGTCCAAACCAGTGACAAGACATTTTCAGGTCCACTTTCGCTAACATGGATTGGTTCTGTGAGCATCCGCCCTGAGCGCCCTGAGCGTCCTGAGTTGTGCGGGTGGGGCACAAAGGGGTGGATAGGGTTGAGCTCACTGAAGATGCCAAATCAAAAACGGAACAAACCATCACCGAAACAATCCACGATCTTCAAATACCTAAGTTTGACAGTATCAAGAGCTATCAATAGCCCCTATGTGGCAGCCCTTTTTCCAACCCTTGTGACTCCTAGGAAGAGATGCATCCCATCTTCAAAGCTGAGCTGGATGCAATTCTGGAGGAACCTGGTGCAGCTTGGACACAGTGAAGGGCGAGTGTGATTTCTGGACAGCATGGACCTAGCATTCATGACATGTGACGCATGGACTCCACACAGGGTACACCAGCACGTTCGTCGCTACCGCAAGGGCGGGATCAAAGAGCCAGAAAAGCATGCTGGCCGGTTGGCCATTGCGCCTTCGCGTCGTCGGTCGACGCAGTCCGTGTTCGGTTGTGCTACCTTCATGGTAGCGGAGCCCCCAAAGCGGGGCTCCTCGGTTCGCCATGGTTGAATCTGCTGCAGTCCCGACCTGGAGTGGGGACCCTTCGGAGTTTGAAAGCTTCGTGATAGCGTGCCGCTGGTTTGAAAAGTCGCTCAAGCCGAGCGAGAGAACCCAAGCTGCACCGAAGATTTGGGCTCGCTTGACTGGACCTGCAAAGGCCGTGGTTAAGCACCTAGATCCAGATGAATTTGCATCGGACGAAGGACTTCAGCGTTTGTTGACAGTGTTGAGGACATCTCCCCTTCAGCAACTCCCAGTTCCTGACAGCTTCAAGCGCCTAGATGTTTGGCATCATTTGAAGAGGGGTCAACAGGAAAGCATTCCAGAACTCCCTGTCAGGGAAGAAGATTTGTTTGTGCAATTGCAACAGGCCCTCAAGCGTGCAAGACAAGACCGCAATTTGTTGTCGCACGCTGACCTTGTTCGAGACCCGGTTGCACGACCTCCGCCTTCAACGCCATCCCAAAGCCCCATCAATCTGACCGGATCCCGGTATGCTGACCGGATCCCGCCAGATACACCGCAGGAGGCACGGGATAGGGCACCTGGTGGTGACGCTTCGACATCAGTTGTTGGTGATTTTTTTGAAGATGAGTTGAGGGGGTACCGCCTCTTGAAGGCGGCAAGATTGTCGACTGCTGAACGTCAAAATGTTTTGACGCAAACAGGCAACTCCACGGCATTCCACATGATCAGAAGAGCATTGAGGACATTGTTTGCCACCGAGGAGGATGCCGAGCAATCACGGGGCTGGACCCGAAAGCAGCAGGTATGGTGGAACGAGGACGCTGGTTACGACCAATCGCATGAGGATCATTGGATTGAAGAATGGCCCTATGACGATTGGTATGGCGATCCAGGGCATGATGAAGAAGCCTACTGGCACGCCTGGCCAGGTCACGATGAGGAGTGGATGGAAGATTCACCTTGGTCAGAATGGCCACCAGATGAATTGCCAGTTGCAGAAGGTGACGAAGATCCACTTGAACAGCAATATGCTGAGGCCTACACCTTGGCCAACGAGGCCCAAAAGACCTTAGCTGAGGCAAGAGATGCAGTGCGCCGAGTGCGCCAAGCTCGGGGCTACTACGCACCTGAGTCCATGACAGGCAAGGGCAAGACAAAGTCGCCGGCATCAAGCCCTTCCAGTGGAGGCAAGAGCTCATTTTCTGGGAAGAGCGGCTGGGGACCTTGCTTCATTTGCGGCAAGCCAAACCACAGTTACCGTCAGTGCCCGGACCGTTTTGCCAAAGGTCGATCGACTTCGCACAAGGGCTCTGGCAAGGGACTCGGCCAGGGCTTCAAGGGAAAGTCCAAGAAGGGCAAGGGTTTTGGCAAGCCAATTCAGTTTCATTCTTTGACAGTTCCCCTGTTTCCATTGCACGTTTATTTCAAGGAACAAGTGCAGGGCTGTCGTGTGATCATCGATACAGGGGCATCTGAGAATGCTGTCGGCTCCACCGCTCTCCAGCACATGCTTGAAGCATCAGGACTGGACCATGAGGTGACCACGGCAGACCGCCCGGTTTTTCGCTTTGGCAACGGCCTACAAGCTCAGGCCAAGAGCCGTGTCGATCTGAAGGGAACTTCACTGGGCTCGATTTCCTTTTACGTGTTGGGCAATGAGGCTCACCAGACTCCGCCACTCATGGGCGGAAAGACATTGAGAGAGCTAAAAGCAATGCTGGCCTATGAGCGCAATTTGTTTTTGTATCAAGCACCTCATGAGGAGACATGGTCAGCAGTTCAGATGGCACCGCATGCATCATCACATGTTTCCATTGATTTGTTGGAGAAGGCAGTCGCAACAGATTTGAGTGTTTTTGGTATGAGCAGTGCAAATCAATCAGTTGTGGAACGTGTTTCTTTGCCACCAACAGTTTTGATGATGTCCACTTCTTGTTTGAGTATGCCATCAACAGCCGATTCCACTAGCACCTTGGCTCGAAGGCTGGAAGATCTTCGGACCCGGATCGCTCGACATGGACAAGGCCAAGCTGCCATGCGCTGTGGACGATCCAAGGGCTCTCAGCAGCTTTCCCTGCTTTGGGGAACCCAAGATGAGGCAGAACCAGTACGCCAGCTGGACGACATGTCAGGCTTGCGGCCTGCGGACCAGCTATGTGAGCAAGAAGGACTTCGAGGGCGACTCGAGGCACATGGGCCCGCACCCGCACTTGATCAGTGCAGCTCTGGAGCAACTCCGTCAGACCATGCCGGCAAGTCAGGTGAGCGAGAAGATCGTGAACGGCAAGGTCATGGAGCTCAAGGGCATCCAGTTGCAGCAGGGCCTCACGAACACCCAGGCCATCAACATGACCTTCCCGGAGTACTGCAAGAGGATGGGCATCTCGATGAAGTCAAACCCAACCTCTCCGGCAAGGGAGAAGAGCCCGGCATCTCCGGCTCCAAAGGCCAAGATCCATCCGACGGCTGCGGGACTTCCAATTCCCCAGACGGAGCTCCTGAAGATGGCGGCAGCCAAGTTTCTGGAATCCTTGGACCCAGAGGAGATCAGCGAGTTTGTGACGGGCGAGAAGTCCAAGGAAGAGATCTTGGCGTCCCGAAGGAACATCAAGAAGGAGCCCAAGGAGGATGTGGTGTTGGGAGCCATCTCGATCGCATCATCGGAGGAGGAGCCGGAGGAGGTGAAGAATGCACCAGGAGTCGCATCGGGCAACTCTGGTGCTCACTGAGGAGCTTGCGAGAAAGGGCAGCCAGTGTGATGAAGACTGGCCACGACATTACGTGCACCACGCGCACTACGAGCACTACGAACGCATCGGCACCTTTGGGTACCACACGACATGGCCCTCCAAAAGAGCACATAGACTGTGCCATCCAGTTTGAATCTGGCATCAGTCCTGGTGGAGGAGATGAGAATGAGGCCGCAAGGGATCTTCCTTTGCCCGGGCCTGGAGGTGGAAAGCGAGCTGGTGTGGCTCCATCAACGGCAAGGAAATTGGCCACCAACATGGCAGTCATCGGTGCCCTCATCACAGCACCTATGCATGGCCTATTTGGCATGATGTCTGATCAGGCCGACTTCTGTGAGGTGGCATGTGCTCCGACTTCCTCTCTGTCGGAATGCATGGCTTCGATGGGCTACAACATCCAGCGCATCAACTACAAGGAAGGCCTTGATTTGGAGAAGAAAGAAGGCACTATGAAGTTTGGTGAACTGATGTCTTCGAAGCCTCCAAGACAGACATGGGTGAGCCTTCCATGCACCAGATTGACAGGTTTGACCAATCTGACCCAACGTGATGAGTATGAGTGGGCAGCATTTGAGAAAAGGGTGAACCGTGATTTGAAAAGAGCAGACGAAGTGGTGCAAAGTCTGGAACCTGTTCTGGCAAGTGATGGTCATGTGAGCTGGGAGTGGCCCACAGGTGCATCCAAAGGCTGGAGATCCTCCGCAATCAAGCGTCTTCAGCGACTTTGCCAGAAACATCGTTGACCATTGTTTTGGTGCAAGTTCCATGGATGTGCTTATGGTTTGACCTACAAGGGCTACCCTGTTCAGAAGAGTTGGACTGTCTGCACCACAGATCGAAACATTTGGTTGGCACTTCAAAAGCGATGTCCAGGTCATGATGAACACGTTCATTGCCGGGGCACCGTGGCTCAGGCATCGGCCTACTACCCGGAGAAGATGGTTCAGGCCGTCTGCAAGGCAATCGAGCAGACATCGACCTGGGCGGACAATCAAAGCTCATGGTCCTTGACGAAGGACATCGAAACCTACTTCATTGACCTTCCCAATGGTGCCAACAACATCACGGTAGAGCATGAGGGCATCCTCATGGAGGAGGAATCAAAGGAATGGAGATGGTATGAGCAGTTGGCTCGAGAGGAGGACCCGGCCATTTTGGCCATTTCGAAGCGTCGTTTTCCTTCCGAAGCACCAACTGGCAGGAGATTGGAGTTGATCAAGGCTCAAATGCTTCGGGTCCACAAGGCTAGTGGACACACTTCCATGGCCAACCTTCAACGACTTCTTCGAGCACGTCATGCTCCCGACTGGGCTGTGCAGTTGGCGGGCAAGCTCAAGTGCCCAGACTGTGCAGAGTCAAAGCTTCCTGCATCAGCACCTGTCGCCTCCCTCAACGAGACGCCAGGACTTCTGGAAGTTGTTGGAAGCGATGTGTTCGAGTACGAGTTCCAGAACAACAAGTACAAGTTCATGTTGATGAGGGACCGTGCAAGTGGTGTGGCCATGGTTGAGCTTTTCAAGAAGTACGGCGGCCCTGAAGGCCCACCATCATGGGAGCCAAGGTCTGAGGATGTGATTCGCATCTTTGGCCGCTGGATGATGTTCTACCCTGCTCCCAAGTGGTTCCTGACAGATTCAGCGACATACTATACGTCGCAGCTGGTGATGGACTATGCCGGACGTTCCGGCATCGGCTTGTTGACTACGCCTGCTGAATCTCATCAAATGCTTGGAGCAGAGGAGGGTTGCATTCGCATCCTGAAGTCGACGGCCGACCGTCTTTTGAAAGAAGAGCCAAACACTTCCGTTGAACTGGCCATGATCTTGGCAGCTCATGGACACAACCAGTCCATAGGACCTTCTGGATATTCACCTTTCCAATGGGTCCGAGGCTCTTCAGCACCTTTAGAGAACATGCCGATTGGAGTGGAACCCCGCAAGGCATTTGACGGCATGCTCAAGCTCAAGGAGAAGGCAAGAGTGGCCTTTGAGATGGAGTCTGCACGAGTGAGACTCTCGAAGCTTGGCAACACAGTTCCTCAACCTGTTACCTCCTTCAAGGCTGGACAGTTGGTGATGCTATGGCGGCAGAGGAACAAGCCAGGCAAAACGACAGGCACATGGATTGGACCAATCCGACTTCTTCTACAAGAAGGCAACACTTTGTGGCTGGCAACCGGAGCAACTCTCATTCGTGCTAGGACGACTCAAGTGAGGCAGTGCACTCGTCGTGAGGAGATGAAGTCCATGCTTGAGGGTACAGCCATCCTCAAGCTTCCTGTCACTTTGGAAAGTCTCCTCCAATCCTTCACCGGACGACATTTCTCAGATGTCACTGGCCAGGTACCTTCCCAAGAGCAGCTACAACAAGATCTTCAAGGAGCTGAGATCAGACAGATGCCACAAGCTGTCTACAGACCAGACACGTGGAAGATCACAGAAGAAGGTGAACGTCGATGGCTCATCCGTGTGCACTCTCTCCCACGGTTGGCGATGTTCACACCATCACGGACTACATCATGCCCAGCAGCAGAGGATGAGTTGACAGGTCGTCGCATTACAATCCTCCGAGGTCTTCAAGAGAACTCCGAACAGTTCGAGATCAATGATGACTACAAGGAGTCTGAAGACCCCAATCGCTCTTTGCAAGACCGCTGGGTTGGTGAGACCAAGTTTGAGATGAAGCAGTCCGCGCCCAAGCCTGGGCGTGAAAAAAGAGAGAAGCCGCTCCCTGTTGACACTGGCCAGAAGAAGTCCAAAGGAACCAAGGCTGGCATCAAGAGGAAGAGCGAAGCGGCACAAAGCAGCAATTCCAAACGAGGTCCAGAACATGAACCACCCGATGAACAACAAGGATCCGTGCTGCCAGATGTGCCGGGAATTAGCCCGTTGACTACCGCCCTCCGAGACCGCGGTCCTTCCGCAGTCGATGGCGATCCGGGCGTGCATGACAAGCCTCCGTGTTCCACATCGGAGTGCAAGCTTCCTGGCGGCCATAGTGGCCCCCACATGGATGCAGATGGCTCGCAGTTTACATGGTCCAAGCAAGACGGCCGTGTTGATGTTGAACCTGAAGCTGAGGAGCTCGAGGTCCCAAGTGAAGTTGAGTCCGAGGAGTCCGCAGCCTCTTCAGCAGAGCTCATGACTGAGCGAGAGATCCACCTGCTGCAGGACAACAATACAACCCCAAAGAACAAGACTCCCAAGGAGGTATTCTATGCCCTTGAGATCGATGTCTCGGAGCCAGATCTGAAGTTTTTGTCGAAGCACCCTGCCAAATCCTCTATTTGGCTGTCTCGCAAGATGCAAGAGAAAGGACGAGAGCTTCGCTGGTCACAGATGACATTGGATCAGAAGCAGGAGATAGCAGGAGTTTGACATTGCCCAAGCACGTGAGCTTTCTAATGTTCTTGGATCCAAAGCTTTGAGGTCTTTGTCAAAAGCTGAGTTTGCATCCTTGGACCCCAAGAAGATGCTCCGGATGCGATGGGTCCTGACCCGCAAGGCGTCAGGTGAGGCGAAGGCTCGCCTAGTCGTGCTGGGATTCATGGCGCCAAACATTGGCGAAGTGGAAACAGCTGCACCTACCATGGCGCGATTGTCCAGGAATCTCCTTTTGGCAATTTGCGCTAACAACGGCTTCAACCTACAGGCTGGTGATGTGACAGCTGCATTTCTACAGGCCGCGGAAAGCTTGGAATCTCAGGAGCTGAATGTTTGGACTCCGGCTGAGCTTGCAGTGTTGTTTGGGGCCGATCCGAACCATCCGGTTATGCCGGCTCGGGTCTCCAAGGCCTTCTACGGTTTGGTGCAGTCGCCTCGATGTTGGTTCAATGATTTGTGCAACACAATGAAGAGCATTGGTTGGGAGACAATCCTGGGAGACCGCTGCTTGTTCGTGTTGTTTGATGACAGTCGCAACCTGATCGGCATTGCAGGAGTTCACGTCGATGACGTGTTGATCGGTGGTTCAAGTCATCCAAAGTTCACTGAATCATTGCAAGCTTTGAAGTCAAAGTACACATGGGGCAAATGGGAGTCTGAAGACATGGACTTTGCAGGTTGTCACATTCGTCAAAGCCCAACCACCAAGGAGATCCGCATTGACCAGAAGGACTACATCCAGAAATGGCTGGATGAGATGGAGCTCTCTCCAAGTCGCTCCAAGGAGGTGAAGTCCTACCTGACGACCTCAGAAGTGTCCTAACTCCGAGGTGTTCTCGGATCAGCTGCCTGGAAGGCCAGTCAATCTGGCCCTCACTATGCTGCAGACATTGGCTTGCTCCTGAGCGAAGTTCCATTTGCAACAGTACAGACAGCATTGAAAGCAAACAAGTTGGTTCGTGAAATCAAGCGCACTTCAGAGCAGTGTTTGATTTTTCCACATTGGGGATCACACTGGCAGGATTTGTCGATCATCACATGGAGTGACGCTGGCCAACAAAACAGACCCGACAAAGGGTCGACGCTGGGAGTGTTGTCTGGACTTGCCCCCAAGGGCATTTTGCATGGCGAGGAGCACATTGTGGCAGTGTTGTCGTGGAAGTCGGCAAAGACACCACGCCAGGTGTTGGGAAGCAATGGAGCAGAGATCCAAGGGATCACAGAGGGCGAGGACAACACCTTCAAAATCAGGGCCATGTGGGCCGAGCTGCATGGCGTTGTGCTGGAACGCCATTCCATGTACCACCAGGTACGAGATTGCACGACAGGAGCAATCGTCATGGACTCAAGAGGCATTTTTGATGCCATGTCCAGGAATGTTTCAGCGCTTCACGGCTTAAGGTCGGCTAGGGCAGGATATGAACTTTCAATTTCTGTACAGCAAGCCCTTCAGATTTCAACAGCTCTCCGCTGGGTGAACGGGCTAGCTCAGTTAGCCGATTGCCTCACGAAAGGCAACGAACGCCGTTCCTTTTTGCAGTTCCTTGCAGCCGGCCAGAAGTGGCGCCTTGTAGATGATGAGAAGTTCACTGCAGGCCGAAAGCTGAAGAAGAAGGCTTTGCAAGAAGCCATTCGGCACCAGCAGGAATTTTTCGTAAAGGTCCTCGAAGGATGGTCCTCTGAGAACAATTGGTGCTGGGAACCCGCTTTGGAGTCCAGAAATGGGGTTGATGTGATTTCTGGACAGCATGGACCTAGCATTCATGACATGTGACGCATGGACTCCACACAGGGTACACCAGCACGTTCGTCGCTACCGCAAGGGCGGGATCAAAGAGCCAGAAAAGCATGCTGGCCGGTTGGCCATTGCGCCTTCGCGTCGTCGGTCGACGCAGTCCGTGTTCGGTTGTGCTACCTTCAGCGAGGTACTGAAATTATATAGGGGCGGGGGCTCGCTTAGTCGTCGGCTTTTGGATCGCTTAGTCGTCGGTTTTTGGATCGCTTTTGGCGAATGTTACATATGACTATGACTTTAACTTGAAGTGCATGTCGCAATCCCCGATGGCTAAGTGATCCCTTTGCCGGTAAGTAGGGTGGGACGGGACGAGAAATCGAGGCCTGGAATCTTGTGCCAAACAGGGTGAAACTTTCCAAGTGGGAACACCCAGTGGACACCCACTGGTGAGGAATACCCAGTGGACACCCACTGCTGATCAGTGTGTCTTATTCCTCTCATCTGAAGGTGACCGTCTTTCTCAGCTGAGGATGTCTTTGGGCAGCTCATGCAGCTGGACCCTTCCCGTGAGCATTTGGCCACTCCGGGCGGCTGGGACACCTTGCGGCCGCTTGGAACGGCGACCGCCGCGGGTTCGGGCGCGGTGAGCGAGCGATGGGCTGCGTGGGCGCGGACGGGTGCATGTGGTCGTCGTCCCCAACAATGGTCATGTGGTACGTCTGGAACTTTAGGGAGAGATGGTTAGAGATTTATTTTGAAGGTTGGATGAAGGGTTGGTATCCCAACTTGGCTGAGGTCTACTTTTGGTGTGTTGCCATTGGGGGTGGTCGAAAAACAACCATAGACATCCATAGACCATGGAGCTCTCGCTACGAGTGGGTGTGGGCGACAACACCGTGTGGGGGTTCATGCTGCTCCAAGGTCTTTGGTCCTAAGATGGTGAGGTTTGTGCACACAGCTGCTACAACAACTATAGAGCTGCTACTGCAACAGCTACGTACGCTGCTACTCCTACTACTTTCACTGCTACATACTTCCACTACTGCTGCTCCTGCTACTAGTCCTACTGCTACTCCTACTCCTACTCCTACTACTCCTACGACGACGACGACTGCTGTACTACTTATAGTAATATACCGCTAGGCTATTGTTGCCAATTGTAGGGCAATAAATGCCACTAGGGTACTGTACAACAACTACTGCCGCTGTTGTACTGCTGCTCCTGCTACAGTTGCTGGGAGTACTGGCATGAGATTGTGCTGTTGCTGTGGCTGTGGTTGTGGTTGTGGTTGTTGTTTTTTGTTTTGATTGTTGTTGTGATCGTGGTCGTGGTCGTGGTTGTGGTGGTTGTGGTTGTTGTTGTTGTTCTTCTTCTTCTGGGCGCCACGATCCGCAGCTTAGGATCGTGCGGTATCACCACTGGTACGACATTTTCTGCCAGGCCGTGGGATGGGCCCCTCACTCGAAAAGAGTCAACTCGAACTCTTTTCGGGATCCTGAAACATGGGACACTCTAATGGTTGAACCTGACATCAGAATGCACCCTTAGAAGTATCATTGGTGACCCCCCTTTCAGGGGCTTTGTGGCCAGCACTTGGGTGCCAACGAAGCGAACCCAGGCACCAGAAGCGAACACTGGTTGTTGATTGTTGTTTCCAGATCTGGAGATGTTTTGAGCTTGCTCGTTCTTTAGGCTTGCCCAGACAGATGGACGAAGACAGAGAGAGAGAGAGAGAGAGAGAGAGACAGAGAGAGAGAGAGAGAGAGAGGGAGAAGGAGAGAGCGAAACATTGGAATGTCACTGTTTGTGGCTACCTTCTTTTGGAAGGGGTGCTGCCCACTAAACGGATAGATTGATACATGCTGTACCCCCCAAGAATCCAAGACCCCATCTAGGACCTTGCAAATGATCCGCCCGTTGGTCAGAGTATCCCATGAACCCAGATGACCCCACATGTTTGGACATAGCTCCTTGCATATGAATCATGAGAACCAACCATGTCACTTCGGGACCCAGCACCATTAAACAAGTACCATTCAACTTGCTGGGGCTTTTGTGCTCCGCCGGATGGCCGACTGGCCGTGCTCCGTCCAAGTCCCGGCCAGTTGGCACCCGAGACCTGCGAGCTGATCAAGACCCGGCCGGAGATCAACGAGTGCAAGTTCATGAACGTGAACTATGACGCCTGGATGCGGAAAGAACTAGATCTGGCGACAGGGGTGGGTGGAACCAGAATGTGTTACTTTTTCCTCTTCTCGCAGGGATGATAGGGATGGATCCAATGCCAGAGGGTGTGTGTGTGTTTTTTTCGTTTCGTTCCATGGTGCTTTAGCCGTATGTAGCACCAAAGAGACCCGTCACATTGGCTGGGGTGGGGTGAGAACAACCATTTTTCAAACAATTGAGGGAAACTCGAGGCAGAGCTTCCCCAAAACGTAGGGAGTCTAGTGCATGGCTCGTAGACAGGAAGTCGCTCATGAAATGTTATGAACCGACAACACGTTTATCGAATTGCCTAGACTGGGTAACAAGCAGGACTTTGAAAGGATATCCTTTTCCCTATGAATTCCTCCGGCGCTGAGCACAAGGACATCCAAAGGTGATGACATCAGTTTCAAGGAGGAGTATCTTTGCTAGAAAGGATACAAGGGCTTGGAGTGTCTAGAATCTTGAGAATTTCTGAAAACATGGAAACGATGCTTGATCAGAATAATAAGAGTATAATAATAGTTGCGGTTGATCACATACATTGAGACACCAAGACTGTGGAGAAGGACGCGCACATGTAAAAACAGTACCAGGGCTTGGACGTCCATTTGGGCCGGGCTTGGTATATTTTGGGGAACACCACCTGATCCAGAACTCCAAGCAATCACCTCTTAAGGCACTCAAACCATTTGACCACTGAGTTGGGGGATCAGACACACTGAAAATTGACCCCGTTGCGTTGGCAGAAGCGGGTTGTGACTTTTGCGCGAAGACACGAAGACACGCGAAGACACGAAGACACGCGAAGACACGAAGACCCGAAGACACGAAGACACACGAAGACACGAAGACACACGAAGACGCGAAGATATGAAGACACGAAGACACGAAGACGCGAAGATATAGACACGAAGACACGAAGACGCGAAGATATGAAGACACGAAGACACGAAGACCCGAAGACACGAAGGTACGCGAAGACACGCGAAGACACGAAGACACGCGAAGACACGAACACGCGAAGACACGAAGATACGCGAAGACACGAAGAGGCTTCAGGTCTTCAAGGCTTCAGGTCGTCACCAGGCTTCAGGTCTTCAAGGCTTCAGGTCGTCACCAGGCTTCAGGTCTTCAAGGCTTCAGGTCGTCACCAGGCTTCAGGTCTTCAAGGCTTCAGGTCGTCACTAGGCTTCAGGTCGTCAGCAGGGTTTCAAGGCTTCAAGTCTTCATGTCTTCAGAGGAAAGTCACCCGGGACTGCCAGCACACTGATTAACCCGTTGAGTCTCAGAAAACATGCAAGGACTACCATCTCATTTCAGACCCTTCCGCCCTTTTTTTTCCAGCCTCCTTGCGGCGAACGAGGTGCGCTTGAATCCTGGAACCCACCTGAAGCCACACTATGGCCACTCGAAGTTCTATGTCGGGAACGGGTCTCATTGGGCAGGTATGGCTGCGGGTTAAAACCAGGATAAGTGGGTTGGCTGACTTACCTGGAAGGTCAAGCTACATGGTGGACCAGGGCTCCAGGTTATTAGACCCATCTCGGGTAGGGATGCCATCCACTCCCTGGTTGGGTCGAGGAACTCCTCCCGGAATCCAACTCCTCCAGGCCCAGAGGAGACGTGTAGACCGCTTGCAACCCTGACCCCACAAAGCGCATCAAAGCACTCTCGTGACCCTGAGGTTCAGAGGTGCACCTGAAGAATTGTTGGGACACCCACCATCCAACCCGGAAAACATGTTTGTTGGTGTTGTGCGTTTCTGTTTCCCATATCTACTATGTACCATCTATGAACCGCTCCATCAATTCCATACCACGGCCCCCCTAAACTAAGGGGTGTCTATTCATAATTATCCCTAGCCCATTAGAGGCTGAGGGCTGTCCAGGAACCAGGCCTGGTAGACGTTGGTCCCGGGCATCGAGGCAACGGCCCACGGCTCTCAGCGCATTTGTCGGTGAAGGCTCCAGAGCCGATGAAGGCTGCACTGACCGCGCCTGGGTCCGGATGCGGAGCACCCGAGGGTTGGTGTGCCAAATCCCCCAGAACCAAGCCCGAGGCTTTGAAAGCCAAGCCGCCCCTTTTCTCGAAAGGGGGAAAACAATGGAAAACATGAAACATGTAAAGAAACCATCTCCCCGTTCCTGGACAGCAAATCACTGCTTCAAGATGTCTGAGGAATTCCCCATGTCTGAAGGACTCGAGCGTTGAATGAACGAATTGCCCATGACCCGGTCATGGACCATCCATTTCTGCTGTCGTTTCACCTTGACTCGGATGTCGACTCGTGGAGGGCCAGGCGGTTGGAAAAGTCCCCATCCAGTCCGGTTCCCGGGGGGGTTCCCCCTATCACATATCATGTTCGGCACCCCGGCATGATATGTGACTCCCGGAATCTAGTTTCTTCTTGACCAGGCCAGGTGAGCAATGCCCCATCCATCTGTTGGACGCTCCTTTCTTCCTGCTCGCGGCCCCGCCTGAGGTGGCAGATCAACGGCGGCTTTGGGTGGAGGGTGAAGCCATCGTGTTCGACGACACGTATCCTCACATGGTGAGCCATTGGGGTGAACAGCCTCGGTATGTGATCCTTGTTTGGTTTTGCCATCCCTGTGATGGTGGCAATCCTCATAATCAGACCTGCCCCAGCGAGTAGGGATGCATCATTTTCCCCAAGACTTCCCGGTCTTTGGGCTGCGTAGTTTAGGAGTTTAGAGCCATGTTGCTGCTTGGCCTGCTGATTGAGACATCTTGAGACATCCAATCATCCTGGCACAGAGCAAGGCATAGGCATTAACTATTGCAGACCGCAGAAGTCGCGGCACAGTTCGAAGCAGTCAAGCCAGCCCATGGCACTAAGTATTTGTCCCGTCGAACGGTGCAGCGAGCCACCAGCGCTTGATTTGGGCGACCGATGCTCGCCTTGTGTTCCATTGCAGTGGAAGAAGGGTGTGGCGGGTGCATGTGCGAACGTGATGGTACGGCCAGCATGGGCTCCACGCATAGCTGAAACAAGGGGAGGAGTGAACAAGGGGAGGAGTGTTGATCCAATTTCTTCAAAGCCGAATTCGTGGGCTTTCCCGGGCCAAGGCTCCGGTGGCTAAACTTGGCCTGACTTCGCCGGCCGATGGGTGGGCACCGATCGGTTCCACGGGCTAGTTTAAGCCATGGCTAGTTTATGTGTGTTTTCCCCCAATCACCTGCTCCTTCTGAATCTCCATCTCGTGTGTCAAGACAGACACTCCTGGCCACTGACCTGCGTTGATCCTTGCTTCATGCGGGGCCATTTGGTTCAACCGGCTAGGTCCTGGCAAGGGAGATTTGCTGACTTCAGCATTTGGTGCATGACCGGTCTCACAATTCTCATACGGAACTCCGGGTCTTTAACTAGGACTCTTCGGGCCCTTCAACTGCGCGTTGCTGACAAGGCCTGAACATATAGCCTTCAAGAGCTTCCATTTCTACCAGGGCTGTCCAGTTCCAGCATTCACATCTTCCAATCAGGCAGTGCAGGCTTTCATCTTACTCCTTCCATTTGAGTTCCGGAACAAGCCCGTCCGACCCAATGCGTGTCGCCGAAGCTGGTTCCGCCCATGCCGCGCGTGGCCCAGCTGGCGCGTCTGGGCGCCTTCGAGAAAGCGCCGTGTCCGGGCTCTGGCTATAAGGCGCAGGGAGGGAGGGCTTGGGATATTCTGGCCAATCAGACTAGAGAGTACAAGACCAACGTACTTGGGAGAGTGTGGTGCCTGGTTGGGTGCCTATTCTCGCCTCCTGATCACCTGCATCTGGTAGCGTTCTGCCTAGCACCTGCCCGCATGGTTTGCGGATGCCTGCACGGTCCTTTTCGTATTGTCCCTGCCCCGGCAGATGTCTGCATTTTCGATCTGAGTCTCCCATATTGGTTCCGTTTTGCCCTGGGTCTCCGACGTTTAGGGGAAGTTGCCGTTGGGCGTCTCTGTGAGACGACTCCAGGACGAGTCATGCCAGCCAGAGAGAGAGAGAGAGAGAGACCAGAGCGTAGGATGGTGTAGGCGGACGCATGCTTCAAACCGAACTACCCAAAACCATTTTTAGGTTGACATTCTCCAGTACCAAGTCAATTTCCCTCATCTTGGGACGAACGGCGTCGGTCATGGAGTTTGACTATGACTATATGATTATGAGGACGCGCTGGTGACTTGAATGGTCTGCTTTCACCCGAGCAATATTTCCGGAGAACAAGGCACCGGCAAGTCTAACTTGTCATTGTATCACGTAAAGAATCGTAAAGATACCTTTATACTACCATGCGTCAATGAGCACATCCACTATTCCCCATCCACTGGAAGTCTGACCACACCTGCGCGGTGGCGAACGCCTGGCCTCGCCTCGCTACCCCTCAGGTCCCAGGCAGCGCAGGGGAACGGACGGCCCTGGAGGATGGTCCTCTCCTGGACGACTCCGAGCGGTCGAACTTGAAGGCCCCCCACCCCCCGACGCGGAGCGGATCCGCGCGAGAAACCAGTCGTGTGCAGCGGTGGAGTGGCTGAGGGTCGGGTGTGGAGTTCGATCGGAGGCGAATGGGCCATGTAATGGTATCATGTTCTGGAAAGGAGCGTGTTGAGGCTGGGAGGCTTGGGGTGGGGCTATATATTTGCGAGGCAGAGGGCAATGCATGCAAGAGAAGTTTCAACATGTTCCAAACAAGCCGCGACACATGTGTGAGAGTGAGAGGTTAAACGGTTGCATATATTATCCTAGGACCACCTCCGAAATCCTCCAATCAGGATTCACCAACGAGTCCTTGAAAGTTGGTCAGATGTCAAGAGTGTTACGGTGTCAATCGTCCCAGGCGGTGCCTCATCTTGGTTTGCAGGTGGAAGAAGAAGATGACGACGACCTTCCAGAGCTGGTGGAGAGGAAGGCCTTCGAGGGGAAGCGCTGGATGGAGCCGCAGAAAGCACTCGAGGCGGTGCGTTGGCTGGTTTCTTGGATTTGTCCGCGCAGGGGGCAGAAGGTGGAAGAAATGAACAAGTCAATACAAGTCATATTATGAGGTTCAGGCCGGCATGACGTGGGCATACAGTTTTTGGGTCAAGAATGCGAACATCAAGGTAGGGACATTGACTGATGGCGAGGGATGGGAGTCGGGCGGCGGCCAAGCGGGAGTGCCTCCCCAACCAGACTGGGAGGCACACGATGGCACACGAGAGATGCCTGGACCAAGGTGCCTGGTTCCGATGCTGTTGTGTATATTACAAGGTTTGTCAGACCGCACCAGCGAGTTGTCAGACCGCACCAGTGAGTTCCAATTGTACAAGTCAAGGACCTCATTGGACGATCAATCCGGGAAAATGGATGAACATTGCAAAAACCAGTTCTCAACGAGGTCAAGGACCAGGTTTAACTTGGCCCTTGGACTTGTAATAGAGTATATTTATTTATTCTAGATATTATTATTCTATTATACAATTTACTATAGCAGTCCAATTTCCATGTTCCGATTACTTGTGGGGTCTCCGGGTGTAGGTCAGGCCTCCTTCCCGCATCCTCGTCTCGAAATGGCCAAGGTCTCCGGACAAAGCGCCTCCTTAGGACCCAGCCGCCCAGCGCCACCCTTTGGTTTGGGCGTCACGTGCCGCGTGCTGGGCTTCTGGGGCTCTTCAGGGGAGGAGATCCGAGAAGAGCTGCGCTGGGACGGGACGCAGTACCTCTGCAGCTTGGAGGTGCCACCAGGAGAGGATGCCATGTTCCAGATCGACGTGGAAGGAGCTGCAAGTGCAGGGGTGTTTCTTGGAAGGCGGGGTGAGCCAGTCCTCACACCCTCTCCTGATGTGGGCTAGCTCGGATGATTCGGAGTCCAGTGCGGGAGCCGTGTACCGGCCTCTTCGGCCTCCATCCTATGGATTCGGCGCCGTCCTGTTCGTGTGAGGAGTTGGCCGGATGTATCCCAGCCTGGAAGGGGCCAATCCCGGGCTTCGTCATGAGTTGTTGGGCCCCGAGCCTTTGACAGAGGAGGGCGATGGCTGGTGGGGCTTGGGCTGGTGGTGTTTAGGAATGGCGAGTTGGCAGGGTTCTCAGTGGCCCCTGTGCTGGTGTCATCTTTGCCAGTCTCAGTCTATCTCAGTGTTCCGAAACAAACTGGGGTGCTTGGTTGGTAGAGCCTGCAGCAAGCAAGGGCGGAGAAAAGGTGTGCATTCTGTTTGTGAAGTATTGGGACGTTTGGCTAGGGGATGTTTTTTTTGGGGGGCTCTGTTCCCCTTTTTTGACAAGATACTCACAAGCCAGTCCAGTGGTCAAATATTCACGATGCTCCTTCGCCCGCATACAGTTTATGCAGACTAAATGGATATAGCCAGGTACGACATGGAGTACAACATGGAGTACAACATGGTACAACACCAGCTGGTCTCCCTCCAAGTGCAGGTCAGACATTCCCATCGCTGGGTGGGCTCTCCGCTTGGCCAACTCAGGACCCACCACATCCAGAGCAAGCCTCGTGGTTCTTGGACTCGGTGCGACGCCCGCGGCGCGGCACCGTCTTCGTGGCCTGGCCCAGGGGCTGCGCAGCGGCCTTGGGCTGGAGATTTGATGGGGAAGCTCGGTGAGAAGAAACATCCACAGCATAGCCAGCATAGCCAGCATGAGATGTATGTGTTCTCCCCCAGAGCAACCCTTCGTGAAGAAGTCTTTGACTCCTCGGATCAAGGGCTTCATATGAATGTATTGTTGGAGCAGAGATCTTGGACTTGCACCAGGTGCGGCAAACGACTACTTCCTTAGTTGATAGGCTCCTCAGGTTTTCCGCCAGCTCCATGGGCTTCTTGTGCTTTCTTCATCCCAGGAGGAGATCCCAAGGGAAACAGAAGACTGGCACGAGATGGGCCCATGGCTCATTTCCAGCACCCTGGCCAAATATGAGAGAAGATGGATGGACTGGTCCGGTTTGGCATTCCTACGTATACACCGATATATTTTGTTTAAAACATGTGGTATATCATGGTGTAACACACACATGCACATTTATATCTACAAGTGCGCGCGCGCCAAACATGCACCTAGAAGATGCGTTGCTTTGAAACATACTTTGATTTCTTGACAGGCGGAACGCTCGTGTATCAAGCCTAGCACGTCTCATCCTCACCAGAGGTCGGGTACCAGTCAACTAGACCACTCACAGTCATATGAGCAAAGGTTGGGCCCCTTAAAACTGAAGAGGAACTGTCCATGACTCATGACCACTATTTCCACAGTGAAATTCGACCTCCATTTGGTTTGGTGTCGCACGAGAATTGGCTTCTTCAATGGTGGTTCTGAGATGTTCATTGATCATTTAATCATATAGTGGTGTTTTGGGCAGTATCCACACGTCCGACATGTTCACCAACTCATGTCCGTGGTGTTTGGGGACTGTCCACCGCGACTGGCAGCCGAGTCGAGGTCATATCGGCCAGGGCAAGCAGGGCGCCGTGGTGTGCACCGGACGTTGGCCGGGGGCTGGGCTGGGCGGTGTGGTGGCGGTGAAGTATCCGGTGGAGCCGGAGGAACTGAAGCTCTACGCGCGAGTGCACGATTTGGCCGGCCTACCAGAGCCCTGGCGAAGAGCTGGGACGGCTCAAAGGCTTGTGGAGAGGAAGGTCCAGCCTGTGAGGTGGCAAGAAGATTGTCATACGACCCTGTGCCGGGAGCAACCTGAAACCTCAGATGGTTCCTCTAGTGACTCCAGTGGTGAATCTGGGAAGATCTGATGTTGCTGGCGTTGGACCGCGTTCGGATCTGGACTCCAGGATCTGGTGGATTTCGGCCGCTTGCCCAAGCATTCGGAGAAGACGGGTTATTACATGGCCACCCGGACCGAAGCAGGAGCGGAGCGGAGCCAGGAGAACCCAGCGATGGGACTCAAGCGGGGTCATGACGTGGGGTGTTTTGGGGCCAGGGCGTTCGTGAGGCTGTAGCTGGGCTCCTTTCTCCACACGGTTTGGGAATGACATGTCAGCATATGCCAGAATTACCAGGCTCATCCAGGCTCTATAAAGATCTGCCGCCTTCTTCCAGAGGACGCAAGGCACCTGACTGCACCAGGAGGGTCGCCCTCCCAAGCCCATTTCAGAAGAACAGAGGACATTCTATACGTTATTCAGATCGATCTACAATCTTTGTGCTATAACTAGAAGATATTAGAAGTATGAGAATGTTCTGCTTTCAAATCGTCATGTGGGCCCACTGGCCCAGAGAAGCGGCGGAGTCCAGAGCTGCTCATTCTGAGGCGATGTCCAAAAGCGAGCCTTGCCTGGACATTTTGCTGCGTGGACAGCTCCATATCCACGATCCCACTCCGCAGATCTTGGGCCGAATTAGCTGGCCAGTGGTGGCTGGCATGGGCCTGCGGCTCTTGCGCACTCTCGAGGTGGGGCTGGTTTCTAGGGATGGTGGAATAGGGTGGACGGCGAAGGGGAAGAGCAGAGATGTTTGGAGGGTTCGGAAGACCACTAAAGATATGAAAAGATGCCTGGATATGAACTGAAATATTTCGGAATGTTTGGGATTCTCAATGGATTGTCCCTGGTGTTTGAACCTCTCTGCGTGCAGGCTATACACCTACGAGGCTGGAGTATTCAGGGTGGATCTCAAGTGCTTCCGAGCGAGCCACAGAGCGAGCCACGGCAAGGGTGGGGTTGTTTGAAAGAACTCTCGGTTTCATTGGCAAGGAATTTGGAGAAGGAATTTGGAGCCTACCAGACATCACATGCATCAAAACGGCCACATGATTCATTTCATAACCTTCAGTTGTACTGTATTTAATTCCAAGAAGGCTCTGGCAGTCTTCCGGCAATGCCCCACTTATCACCACTTTTTGCACCCGCTGGCTCCACAGGCATCATCCATTGTGATCTGAAGCCTGGGCCTCTTGGTGAAGTGCGCAGATCAAATCGGAACAAGCGGACCTAAACATTTGACATGGGCGGTGGTTAGCCTTTCAACATAGTCTTGCGTTGATCTTTGAAGCTGTGGATGCCCTCTACAAAGGTGAGTTGTGGACATATAGTTGTGGACATGGGGGACGGGCAGAAAGCTCTGTGATCGCTGGTGGTGGATTTGGGTAGATCCACCTGCCGGTGGCTTTCGCTGCAGAAAAAAAGATTGCGGAGCGGGTTTGATGCTGAGAGTATCTGAGAATTGGATGCAGCAAGCTCCGGCCACATGTTCATCTCAATTTCATTAATGTTGGTTGATAGAAACCGCCCCGGAATGCATGGAGATGTACAATCATTCTCGTTTGGAAGGGAGGTTTATGGATCAGTCTACATCGCTCCCCAGCGCGCTGCCAGTGTCTCCAGGAACGTCCTGCTCCACCGCCGGGCGCCCCACGTGCAACTCATCGATCTGGGCCGCGCCGGCGACAAAGGGCGCACATCGTTCGAGCCGGGCCAGGGCGGCATGCGAGACTACATGTCCATCAAGCACCTGGGCGTCAGCAGGCGGAGGAACGTCCAGACGCAAGGCCCATGGCTTTTTTGGGGCACACTGAACACGGGGTCGAACATGTGTTGATATGACCGCGCACACACATCATATCATATCACACACCGGATAGTATGCACTTACATCTCAAGGCTTTCTTGGCTGCCCAAGGTCATAGGAGCACCTTTATCTGGGCAAAGTGGGGTGCAGGATGTTGTTTGACAACAGTGCTTGATGCAAGCCAGGTGTGCTTTCCCTCACCTGAGGTCTGGCTTAGAGGGCGGACGGCGCACCAGCGCAGATGATGTGGAGCCCCTGGGGCTCCAGAAATGAACCTCGCGTCAGGTTTGGATTGACCATTAATTCATAGTTCCTTAATCTCCATCAGAAACAAGACACTACTAGGTTGGAGGCCATCGCTATTAGCTTGGAGACCACTACTACTAGTACTGTAACTAGTAATTCAGAAGCATATCGTTTTCGCAGTTCGGTGCACCACCTGCCCCCCCCCGCACCTCTCCCGGCACCTCTCCCAGCACCTCTCCCGTTTGCCGTTTGGAGTCGTCGCTCGTCGGCCCGGCCATTGGGATCGCCATGGACACTGAGACGGTCAGGACCTGGTGGAGGAACATGGCCTTTCCGGGTTTTCCGCAGGAAAAACACGCGTTTCTGTTTGAAGATGTTTTGCTCGAGCTAACTATGGGTGACTGACTCGACATGCTGGGCTGGTGTGAAGACCGGAATCTCTTGGACTTTCTGGTGGCTGGTGGCATCGATGCAGCGGAAGGGCCTTATTGAATCCTTATGACAAATCCACCACCAGGGTCACCAGGGTCACTGCAATTTGGATTCCACAGGCCCACGAGGGCCACGTGGGATGGCTTTCCATCTCCTCATCAGTCCAGTCTGCGGTTTGTTTTCGCTGCAGGTCATTGGGTTGGTTTCTGCTTCGGCTTCTTCTGGGTCGCTGCCCTTGGAGTGCGAAAGTGAAGCCGCACCCTTCAGAGACTTGGGAAGAAGGAGAGCTGGGTGGCTGCCCTCGGGTGCCAATGAATGCATGCGAATCCAGGGCTGAGAAGCACAGGAATTGAATGTCCAATACGTGTAACTATAGTAGTTTCAGAATACATGGCACAAACCCAAAGATGTCTTTTATATGGTTTTTTTTTTTTGGTCCATATAACCAACCTTTTGGGGATTGCGCCATCTACTCTGAAAACACTGTATATGCATGGTTCAGGTGTTGCTTTGTTTTCTTAGCTTTGCTGACTGCTCTATTGGCAGGCAGAGGGCAACTTCAGGCTCCCAAACTTGAGTCGTGGGATCAGTTGGTTCGCAAGGAGAGTGAGCACTAGCACATAGACAAGAAAACCGCAAGAAGGCTCCAAAACAAACACACACACACACACATCCAATTAACTTATATAAATGGATTAGCATCACATGGATGCAACAATTGCACCAAGGGAGTGGCTGGGCTTGGATCAGAAGACTTGGCTGGTAGAGATTGACTTAAAGCAGCATGATTCCGAATTCCTGCACAACCAGAGCACGTGCACAGAACTTACAAAAATGGTCAAGTCACATGAGCTACAGGAAGGTATCACAAGTTACCGTATGCAAATTACAACGAGCACAGCCGGGAGCAAAACAACGGGTGGCATTTTCCTTTTGCAGTCAGTGTTTGCTTCATTCCGTCTAGATAGTTTCTGGACAGTGAGGTGTTGTGGTACACAGGTTGCACACGGAGTGCCAGAATTGAACACAAAAAGGTACCAGCATGTTCTGGCCAACTGGTGGCGAGACATGATGAAACATGATGAAGCCAGATGAAGGGGTGCTCCAATAGAAAAGTGAACCTATTAACGAACACTTGCCTAGGTGAGCTAGAACCATTGTTCGGGTACGCACGAACCCTGACGCGCACCGCCAGGAGGCGCTCGTGTGGCCCGTGAGAAGCTTCGTTTTTTGGAGGAGGGCGGCCTGAAGCGCTTTGCGCCGGAGTGATCAGACTGCAGAGGGTGGGAAGTGAGGAAGGGCGAAGACCAACGGAAGTCCGTTGAGACCGAGACCTGACTCCCGTCTTTTGACGTGGCCAGTATGGCCAGCTGGTTTGGGTGGAGGTGATTGACGAAGCTGAGCAAGCTCGGTAAACACCTATTCAAAAACTCGGTGGCTCAAGCCACTTGAAGGGTGAATCTTTTCGTTAGATGACCAGCACCAAAGGCTGCGGAAGATGCAATGTCCACGAACGTGGTTGGGGTTTGGGCATCAATTCTATGCTATTCTGATACTTCGTTTGGTCCCAAAGCACTTGACGACATTGATATGTGTCAATTGGTCACGGCGAGATAGTGATCGAATGATCCAAGCAAGAGAGTCGACTTCACGGCGGGGGATTGAGAGAGAGAGAGAGAGATAGAGAATCAACACAAACAAGTACATGATGCAAGTGTCCATGATTCCCACATTCAACTGGCCAAAGCCGCGGCTCCTTCAGGTGTCGCTTCTGTCCTCCCTTCCTCATGTCCTTCCTCCGCCGCGCACGCTCGGCGGCGGGACACGAGCTGGCCCCAGCGGAGTACGACGCGCTAGCGGAGCTTCTGGTGAAGGGCACCGACGTCCAAGGGCCCTTGGAGCTGGAGAGCAAGTTGGAACAGCTCCTTGGAACTATAGGTCTAGCTTGAATTGAAGGGCTGTGGCTGACCTAGTCCAGCTGTAACACCTATGGAGAGTGAATCACAGCATATTGAAATCGGTGGGATCTGCTGCGAAGCGGCCTTTTTTAAGCACACGGTCTGTGCAATTCTCTGCACAGCCTTGAAGGGCCAAACGGAGGCCAAACGCAGGCCCTCCGCTTGGGCGGTGGTACTGACCAGCGGAACCCTCGACTGCAGGGAGTCGAAATTAACAGGCCTCAGGCATTGCCAGGATCGCCTGTGGGCGAAACGAGGAGGCCCAAAGAAGTGCAGTTTTTCAGAGAGAGAGAGACGAAGTGTGTGTGAGAGGGTCACTAGACGCGAAGACAACAAATACAAGCAAGAACATGCCAACAAATACCAGCTGGAGCAAGGAGTCACTCAGAGTCCTCCAAATTACCTGGTGGCCGTATAGGAGTTTTCTTCTGACAGACCAATCAGAATGTTGCTGACTTCTGTCAATTGTTCATCAATGAGGTGGGTCTCTGGCTATTATGCCGCGCGGGATGCTGGCATCCTGAAGAAAGGCATGTGGCCATATGCAGGCGGGCTGGGCGGGTTGGTGCGCTTTTCTTCAGAACAGTTTGCCCGGGTGCCTGGTTTTCTTTTTTGGTAAAGGGCCAACGGAAATCAAGTTTTTCCGGAGCAATGGGCGGTTTTCACATAATTCGAGGCTATTGTGAGTGGCTTAGATTGAGGCTGTTGTGTGGTTCTGGTGGGCACATTTCCCAGCATTTTCATATCGCAATCGTCAAGTCACATTGACAACAACGTCATATTATGTCAAATGGTGTTTGTTATTGTTTGTTTATATATACTCTTTGGTTTGTGATGTTTGTGGCCATTCAACATTTCATGATGTCATTAGTCCAGTTTTACTTGCTTGATCTTCTTTGCTTCTCGAATCACGCCACGGTGCCCTGTGCCCAGGAGTGTGCACTCTCCACTGGTCACTTGGCTGGATTGCACTTGCGCGTTTGTGTGCAGAAACTTTGTTCGTGTCGGGGTTTGGGGCAACTTTGAAGGTCCCGCATTCACACGTTGGATCTACAGGTTGTTTTACATATTATTTACCAGGCTACCGCCTGCAGCCGCCGACCCCCGAGGGAAAATGTAGCGGAAAGGATGGTACGTGGAAGTAGCTGGCGCAGGTGTAGGGTTGCGCGAAGGAGTGGCATGAGTCCCGGGCTGGTCGCGGTGCCAGTGCCCTTGGTTATTCCTAGAGGTTGTCACGTTTTCCGAGGGATGTGTAGGATTTTCAAAGGCTTTGCCAGCATTTCCTTTGGAATGCTTCTGGTTTTTGCTAGATTTTGTAAATGCCCCGGAAGGAGTCTTTTGGGTTCCCAGACATGCTCAACAAATTGCTAACCCATTTTACCAGGGTGAGGCAGTTTTTTGCAGCAAGCGTGCAAACGTGCGGCAGCGCCTGCGAAGCTCGGTCAGCTGTGTGCCACGGTCGTGCGCAAGCAAGGGAGGAGACCGTAGCCGTTTGGACGGGGGGGCATGTGCGCGTGATGGAATGTGTTCGGTGAAGCAGGCCGGTCGGGGGGATGGGAGGGTTGCTAGTTCCACGGTGGTAAGAAGGGCGTTGCCCATGAAAGGGGAAGGGAGCCGGACATGCACGGTGACATGGGCAGTGTGCCGCGGATATGGTGAGTTTCCCTTGAGAGCATGGAAAAGAGAACTGTGCGTGCGCGGAGCGTTTCGCGAGGGCAAAGCAAGTCGGGGGCTGCCTGTGTTTGATGAGGCGTGGAAGGGATATGTAGTGTTGTGTGACGTGAAGCCAGGGGATGTGAGCGGCGGGGCGTGGGGAGTGGGTTTGGTGTGGGAGGAATATGAGTTGTGAGTAGCCGGCAGCACTTGCTAAGGCAAAGCGTGGTAGGGTTTCCAGTGGCAGCTAGTAGGAAACGTGGTTTTAGTGCACATATCATTTGCAGGTATTGACGAGGACCGAGGCGAGCACGTTTCTGACACAGGATGGTACCTGGTACAGCGTCCAGGTGCTGTACACGGCCCTGTTCAGTGCCGGATACACTTTGGATATTGACAACCCCATCCACACCGCTGCAAGCCTGGAGAACTGCATTGGATGCATCCAAAATTGGCAGAATGCGCACTGGGTGGCTTACACCATGGTTGGGGAAGAGATTTTCCTCTGTGATTCCTTGAAGCCGCGGCCTGAGAAGATATCCGCAGCCGCGCTGGCAGCGACGCTGCCGCACTGCCCGACGTACGCCATCCGTGCATAGCTGCTCCTGGAAACCCCCCGGACGCGTGCCGTGCAGTGTCATTTCATCTCGCGCGACACAGTCGCCAAAGGGAACGCCTGCGAGAAAAAAGGCCACGGAAGGGAGCTGCCAGGCCAGGAAGCTTGTTGCCGTGCGTGGGTGGGCCGCGGTTTGTCTAGATACTTCTGTCGTCGTCTAGGGGCTCGGTGTTGTTATTCGGGTTCCCAGATTTTCTAACAAAATGCTAACCCATTTGCCGTGCTCTCTTCCTACTTTGGGGATGCAGTGACTATGCCATCCACTTCCCTGGAGGTCGGCGCCTGTCAGGCGTTGACCTGGTTGGGGACCCGGGGAGCTACCCATGGTGTTGGGTACCTTGTTGCCCATATATACCCCCCTGCCAAGGGTTCAAAACCGGGTCCCGCAAAGGAGGGTGATGATAACACCCCAGAAGGCTCTCGTAACCACAACGGGCATATTTTGTGACACATCCGTTCCTCTGTAGATCACAGTTGTTTTGAAACCACTATAGGTTGCTGACGTGTCACGGTAGCAGCCGCTTCGCACCCTGTGCGTTGTAATGTACGTCCCCTGAATTCCCGTTTTATGTCCCCCTGTCCAGGCACCATCTATCGCCGAGGAGACCTCGCAGGCGAAGCCGCTCCTCGGAACCAGATCCCGCTCTGTGTTGCTTTTTGGGCTCCCAGATTTGCAAAGAAAATTGCCAACCCATTTTCTTCCGTTGTTGTTCTCGTTCCTTTCATGCGCTTTGCAAGCGTGTTCCGACGGTTCGCAACAGATGGAAGCAGTAGGCGGGTTAGCTTTTGTCGATGGTGCACAGGATCCTAAGATGCAATATCGAGGACGCGTTGTGTTCTACGTCCCGTGGTGGAGCAGGGCGCTGCCCATGGTATGGGGCCCCCCAAGGGTTCAGCCAACCAAGAAGACAGAAGAGAGCACGGAGAATGGGTTAGCTTTTTTTACAAAAATATGGGAACCTAAAAAGCACTACGGAAGGACCGCTCTCCCGCCAGGTGAGTTCCACCGGCGCGCTGGCAGCATGCCAGCACAGCACTAGTGAAGAGCAGAAAAAGCTTGCAGAGCGCAGCCACGAAATCTTTAGAGACATGATATGTTCCTGCAGCACCCAAGTAAGCAGGAGTAAAGCTTAGAACATCCTAGAAGTCCAGCGGAAAACGTTTGCAAATGGGGGAAAATAGGTTAGCTGCTTTCTTTGCAGATATGGGAAAGAAAGACCCAACACCGAGCCTTTACAAGTACCTAGACACACCAGAGGAAATGCTGGAAAGGCGTCTGAAAATTCTACAAAACCAGCGGAAAACGCGACAAAATCTAGCAAAAACCAAAGGCGCTAGCAGGAACCCGGCACCCGGTAAACACCTCGCCAAAACGCATAAAAGGCATCAGCGCTACAATGGAAGAAAATGGGTTAGCAATTTTCTCTGCAAAGCTGGGAACCCAAAAAGCAACACAGCCCTTTAGAAAGACCTAGAGTGACCAGGCATCCTGTCAAAACCTTTGGCGCGAGGACAACAATGGAAGAAAATGGGTTAGCAATTTTCTTTGCAAATCTGGGAACCCAAAAAGCAACACGGATCCTTTACAAAGACCTAGAGAAACCAGGCATCCTGTCAAAAGCTCTGCAAAGCGCATAAAAGGCAGGAGTACAAGAATGGAATAAAATGGGTTAGCAATTTTCTTCGCAAATCAGAGAACCCAAAAACCAACACGGGGCCTTCACAGATACCTAAATAAACCAGAGGAAATGCTGGAAAAGCAATTGAAAATCCTACAAGGTCAGCGCAAAACGTGACAAAATCTAGACAAATCCAAGGGCATTCCTAAGTTAATGCTGGAAAAGCCTTTGAAGATCCTACAAATCCAACGGAGAACGTGACAAAATCTAGAAAAAACCAAGGGCACTGGCAGGGACCACGCCGCGACCAAAACTTTTGCAAAGCGCATGAAAGGAATGAGGACAACAACGGAAGAAAATGGGTTAGCAATTTTCTTTGCAACTCTGGGAACCAAAAAAGCAACATAGAGCCTTTACAAAGACCTAAAGTAACCAGGCATCCTGTCAAAACCTTTGCAAAGCGCATGAAAGGCATGAGTACAACAATGGAATAGAATGGGTTAGCGATTTTCTGAGGAAATCTGGGAACCCAAAAACCAGAGGAAATGCTGGAAAAGCCTGTGAAACTCCTGCAAATCCAGCGGAAAACGTGACAAACTCTAGAAAACACCAAGGGCATGAAAATCCTACAAATCCAACGGAAAACGTGACCAAATCTAGGAAAAACCAAGGGCACTGGGAGGGACCAGGCCGCGACCAGCCCGGGACTCGAGACCGGTACCAGACATCCTGTCAAAACCTTTGCAAAGCGCATGAAAGGCATCAGTACAACAATGGAATAAAATTGGTTAGCAATTTTCTGGGGAAATCTGGGAACCCAAAAACCAGAGGAAATGCTAACAAATCCTTTGAATCGAATATCCTTTAAACCCAGCGGAAAACGTAACAAAATCTAGAAAAAGCCTAGAGCATTCCTAAGTAAATGCTGGAAAAGCCTTTGAAAATCCTACAAATACAACGGAAAACGTGACAAAATCTAGGAAAAATCAAGCGTATTGGCAGGGACAACGCCGCGACCAGCCCGGGATTCGAGCCCGGGACCATTTATGGACCGTGCTTATTTTCCCGCGCGGGTGGAGAGGGTGCCCCAAGATGTAATCAATTGGGATGGAGAAATCTTGGACAACTTTTGGAGAAATCTTGGCGAAATCTTGGCAGATTTCGGCAGATTTCGTCACTGCAACAAGGGTCCGGAGGGGTAGGGGAGGTAAGGTCAAGGCCAAGGACTAAGGCTAAGGATAAGGCTTAAGGCTAAGGCCATCGATCAACAGTCACGCCTCACCCCATGAGTGGGGTCGGCGGATATTTTATTACATATAGGATTCCGATCCAAAAGGTGTGCTCAGTGGGTTTTTCTCTTCGCCAGTGCAAGAACATTTCGCGTGTTCCTGAATTTCTGCTCCGAGCAGCCCACCTGGACCCCAAAGCTTCCACTGCTTTGTAAAGATAAGGGTGCCCCTCGTCCTCGAGGAGTTATCTCTTGCCACCCAAGCTTGCTCGCAGCTTCAAGGCTCTTTGTGAGCGAGGGCCCTCCAGCTGCAAAGCCATCACTAAAGCGGCTCCAGGCACAGAATGGTGCTGTTTCACCACCAGGAGGATCTTGATGGAAGTCCCCTTTTTTCGTTGTAGGATAGGTGGAGTGGGGCCTGGTCAATTTCTTTACCTGGTGGTCCTGTGAACCTGGTTCATCAACAGGAGATGAATGGGAGTCTTCCAGGACAGTCCGGCAGAAGAAGGCACGTATAGAGGCTTATTCGATAGATGTTGATAGCAAGAGATTGGACCGGATGAAAAGAACTCGGGATGCGGAAACGGCCACGGAAACTGCCGAGACCCACAGAGAGGGTCGTTGGAACACGAAGTTTGGATCGAAAAAAGGGGTCCCACATTTCAGACTCTTGATTTACAGTAACAAATAACCGAACCACTACACTTGGCTTGTAACGGGTGGTAGCATCTCTTCAATATTGATTCATATGGGGGTTTTATTCGTCAACAGTCTACATCCATCGATTGCCCACTCGCATGAATCCAGGTCTGCGCGGGTCTGGTGCTACGCCTCACCGGGGAAAAGGCAGCTTGACAGTCGGCTTAACACGACGAGGAAGGTGGTGAAACTGGTCTTCCCTCTGCCTCAGACGAAAGCCAAGACATGGGGGGACTGCCAGACTCGCAACGAAAAACATCGAAAAACCCTTCAAGTGGCAGGTGTTTTTCTCTTGGGATGAGCCTGCTTGTGCGTGTCACAAGCTTTGATCCAGCTCATGAGAAAGCCATAAATCCTGGAGAAAGCATCAGGTCTTGGACGAAACGACCGGATTTGGACTGCCCTTGGGAAATTGAGAAATCCTCCCAGTTTGGGGTCGCACTGCCCCGACCTGGACCTGGTGATTTCTGCGCCCAACAAACCAGCAAGCTGGCATAGAGAATTCGTTGAAACCATCTATTTTCAGAGAGTGAGACACTTGAGATTTAGGTCAGCTGCCATGCATAGTGCCATACCCTGTCCTTCCTGCTGGAGCGGAGGTCTCCGCAACCTTTTTGGTGGTTTTGTGGGCGAGAACTGCCCACGCATCAACTCACCAACGAGCTCAGGTTGAGATCGATGAGCGTGTTCCTCGCCGTTTGCAGATGCGTTCGAGACCGATGGTCGATTGATGTCGATGGTCCAGTTTTCGCTGAATTCACCTCGTTGTGGACTGCGAGATGTGAAAAAGAACACGGACACCAAACAACGACGTTTAAAGACGTGAAAGACACCTCCCTGGACCTTCCAATTCCTGGACCTGGGTGCCCCATCGAAAAAGACCCATACGTATAGTGCAGGGGGCTGGTCAGAAGGTGACCCCGACAGAAAGGTGCTGGTGCTGGTCAGAAGTACAACGGTTCAACCGGTTCCAGGTTTCTTTCGGTCGACCTGCAAGGGCATTTTTCCCGAGAAACCGGTGGCTGCTCCTAGCCCGGTGGCGGCGTTGTCCTGCTCCTGCGGCGGCGTTTGTAAAGAGTGAATTTAGATGATCTGAGACATCAATAAGCTTTCTTACAGTCAGTTCAACAACACAGGAGTGCATTGCATATAGGAGCATTTTGCAGGTTTTGGCTTTCATTCGGGAGAATCTCGCCAGATCTTCAGCGAACCCATCTCATTCCAACCACTTCTTCCAATTCCCAAACTTTCGTGCGATACCATAGCCATTGCATGTGTTCCAAACCCCCTGTCCTCCCGCCAAAACGGTGTCCGAACCTCGGTGTGGCGCCGCCGTGCCTCTGAGATCTGGATGGAGTTGGATCCTCTTTGGTCCCCGGGCTTGCCCGACGTCTTGCTGAAGCCGGGCTGGGTCCTCGCCGTGGGGCCTCCACCCACAGGAGCAGCACGGGGGAATGGTGCCGATGTTGGAGTCCGGGGCTGGGGGGAGGCTGGGAAACCATGGCTTTGCTGGGTGAATGGAGGAAATCGCTCAATATCTCAGTAAATGCTCAGATTTCTAACAGTAGTTTCAGCCGAAAGCCTGGATAGGTTCTGCACCTGGTCCAGCGATGTCGAGGGTCATGGAAACTCATGCAACATGAGAAGCTAGCAGCTTGCGCTGAGTCAGTATCGGACTCAAATCAGCCAGAAAATCGACATCTTACAGCTGGCTATTTAGTGTATAATATTTAGCATTATAATATGTATAACCACCTAAGACTGAAACGAACCAGAACCATGCATCTGGTGCAGCTTTCCAGGAGCCTCTGTTTCCCTTCGTGACCGGCCTCTAATCAACTGAAAACGTCCAAAAGATGAGCTTCCCTGAGGTGTTCTGATGTGTTTTGGGCAAGTAGTCAGGGTCAACCTACCCTTTGAAGATGCAGCCGCATCCATAACCATACAGTGGCGTTCTTCTCTTCCCAGTTCTTTTTTTAGTCTCTTGGAGGGGCAGTGACAACTGGAATCTGTCGCAATCCGGGTGCCAATCTCCCTCAGCTCCAGACATCTAGGAGGCCGGGCGGACACGTGGCTTGAGTGGGGTTTGGAGTTCCCCGTCGTGGAGAATGTGAAGGGCGTCCTCGACAAATCCGACTGACGCATACTGACGGAAGCTCCAGCTCAGCACAGGATTCGAAGTTGGACTTGAATCAGGAAGCACTTTAATATCATTGCACCATGTTGCAACCCTTTATGATCGTTGGTTGCAATCGATCCACTCCAGAATCATAGCAGATCAGCAGATCCAAGGCAGATCAGTGTTGAAGGGACTTTCTCACTTGTTGTCAGCAGAAATAGGACCTCGGAGTACATAGTTTTGAGCAGGGTTTGCGCCGAATAGGCATGCCTGTGCACGTCTCTGACAGAAGCGCAGACAAAACTGATGTGCGCAAATGCAGCTCAGGCATTTTGACAAAGTCCTTGGAAAACCATGCCATGGATATGAGGTTGGGAAAGCTGTTGACAACCCCAAGGCTATCCAGAAGCGCAGACCAAAGCATCTCTTTCCTGCTTACAGAGACCCTCAGGACTAGATCCAGAAGTGTTGCTCGGCCCTGTCCACCCTTTTGCACTTCTTGAGCCAAACTGGTGGCAAGATTGTAAGATCCATTAAGATCCTGATCTCCACAAGCTGCAAGTCGCGAGCCCTTCTTTATGCCACTGGGATGATGGAAACGGCTCCACGGCTGGGACCCGGCCAGTCCGTGTCAGCCCTTAGGTCAGCTGGACTCCGGCAGAATCTGAGAGTGGCGGTGAACCGGCCCACGTCGTGGTGAACTATACAAGCAAGCTGGAAGCTTTTTCGGAGTACCTGGCTTTTTGGGAGAAACTGGGTGCCAACTCCAGGCTGCGCAAAAGTGCCAAACCAGCCGGGCTCCGGGCAGGCATGGGTGATCTAATTAATGTGATTGTTAGGGTGTGAGATGACAGACGGACCCACTCATTGGGTGAGCCATTGTTATCAAACAATGATGTCAGAGGACATTATGTACTCTGTTTCATTGTGCTAATCGAGCTTTCTAATGGCTTTCCAGGATTGATTCCCTTTTTCACTTTTTTCTATTTTTCGGTGTCCTCATGTGTTCTCTGGTCCAGCACTGGTTTTGTTTGACTCCCTTTGATGTCCTTCTACTGCTGTTTTTCATCTTTTTGTGTGTGTGTGTGTATGTTTTGAATCTTTGAAGGTCTTCTCATTTCAATATGAAGGGGGCCCTGACTTGAAGAGCTTTGGTTTTGGCACAGAGGATTATTATCCTAGGTCCTAGACGTCGTTTTGCTCATGGCTTTTGCACGTGCGAACGTGAAGAAAGGGGAGACTTTACTATTTCAGGGGTTGTCAATGGCATTCAATGGCGAAAGAAAGGGCTTGGAACTTTGAACCATTGCTTGGCAAGCAATACTCTTGCATATCGTGTTAATGCAATTAGTTAAATGCAACACCTGTTAATGTACAGTAGATGTTGCGTTTGAGTATGCAACCCCTTGCAATGTCGAGCTCCTTTGCAAACCATGGATGGAAGCTTTGATCACATACGTGTGGGCGCAAAACACATGTTGACACCCCATTGTTGTCAATTTTGTTGATGTTGGCGGTAAAACACGGTCCAGCAACAAAGATGGCATTCTGAATGAAGGCGGGATATCCTTCATCTGGGTCACATGTTCGACTTTTTTCGTGATCAAAGAGCAGAACAGCCCCGTGAGGTGGCCGGAGGAAGGCAGGAATCCATGCCGGACGAGGGGAGGAGAGTTCATCTTTTGTCAATGGAGGTTTTCAGCGACTTCGTCAGCTGAAAGACCGTTCAGACATATTCTGAAGGTAGCACGTTTAACATGAACCAACCCTTGGCGAAACGATTTCATGCACCAATGGTCGCGTTGCATACAGAAAGTCCCCAACATGGCCTAAACGTGTAATAAGTACTTCTGAGATGCCATTCAACAAGATTCAGCATGTGTCCAAAAGCAGGCCACTTTCCAAAAGCGGGCGCCATGTCACCCTGAGCCAGTCTTGGGAGCCGCGGTGGTTGGTCAGCTGGCAAGCTGGCAGAAGGGTGCGGTCAAGGGTGGATGCTCCCAGATGCTAAAATGTATGAACATTTTGACGCCAGCATCTTACCATGTCAAGGTGCCTATTGGACAGGGCTGCCCATTTTGTGGGGAACTCCTGGTTTTGGATTCGCGACCAATGCCCTGGTCACTTGCGCGCTGGGCGAAAGAACTTTCGGACCATCCAAGACCCAAGTGAATCCACTGGAAATGTTGCTAGAGCAGCCATTTCCTATAGTTCAGGATGTGTTGCACTATGATAAGTACACAGCCTTTGGGCACAGTTGACACGCTCCAAACGCCTCCACAACATGTTGATCACTTTTTTGAGGGTTGGTTTCAGCTGCCAAGGTAGATGATGGAGTGTGCCATTTGCTATGAGCAATGTGTAGCTCGGACATCCTTGGGTCTGTTGTAGCATCCCTTGGCAGCCCTGGCATGTGCTTTCTGCTGCCGGATGCATTTGGTTTGAGTTTGGAGATTCCACGGTCAGGGATTTCCAGACATTCGAATTTGTCATGCCCAATGGTGACTTCGTTACTAACCATCTCCCAAAACATCAAATCTGAGGAATCTCTTCATGCAGCGTGTTCAATGATACTGATCCAATCAGTGTTTCATGTTTGCAAGCTGGGCATGGCTGCAGCCCATACAAGCAGTGTTGCTTCGAGGGTGTTTTAGTCTCCCCGTGGGTGAATTTCCTTTTGGGGAGGATTTTGTATTTTTCCGGGTTCTTTGAGCAACCCCCACCCAGTTTGTCGGTGGACTTCATGCACAGCTCAGCACGAGGTCAGGAAGAGTGCGATCAGGACACGTAGTAATCAGGTCGATTTGGACCTTTTTCGGCCTCATTTTGTGCAATTCTTTGTCCATGCGCACGATTGAGGAACCCTTGTCCATGCCATGCTGCGGAAAGGAAGGGGCAACCGTGGCGTATTGTCGACCATGTTTGGAGCCCTGGCTGCGAGACAGCGAAACCCGCACGTTAAATGGCAGCCAGGTGTGTAGTGGAACCTTTGCTTTTGACTGTGCATGTAATTGCTGTGATGCGAATGGCTCCTATTTTATGCATACGCGTTACTAGCACCACGAAGCACCCCGCTTGCTGCGCGCAGTCTTTGCATTGGAGCCAACAGTTATGGGGGTGGCAACATGGACTATTTCTGATTGATACACGTGGGACAGCCCCCACTTTGATCCTTGGCCTTGAGTAGATCCGCCATCGGCTCCAAGGAGGTCATTTGCCAGCTCGGCGGTGGAGTGGGCCGTTGCCCCACGTGCCGGCAGTGCCTTCGGATGGATGCTTGCCGGCAGTGCCTTCGGCGCCGGTGGACGCATCCAAGGATGTGCCAGGGCCATGTCTTCACTCTCAAGGGTTCGCAGGCCGCAGATGTGGTCGGAATTGGTTGGGGGCATCAGCAGCCCTCAAAGCAGGTGGGTCAACTCGGTGGAGAGGCTCTGGTCATCATCGGTCCTCCCAAAAATAGACCCTTTTACCGTTTGGCCGGGGATTCTTCTTCGTCTGTTTGGAGAACACGTCGAAGGGTCCTCTCGTTTTTCAGGTCTTCAGGTATCGGGAGGTCAGAAGCTGCGCTCCACGCCATGCTCTTTGGTACCTTCCGGGAACAAACAGCGCTGTGAGGACGATGGAGTGCCGTCCATCACCGAGAATCGCGGCCAGTGCCAGATGTGCCGGCAGATGCACATCCTGGTCGACCAAGGCAGATCCGTCGGGAGTTAATTCACCAGCTTGCTGTTGCAAGTGTTGCTCACCCAACAGGCCCCTATAACGAGTAAAAAAACTCATCCCGATCCCGCTCCTAAAACATCACAGACGCCTCAGGCATGTGTGAAGCCTGCAATCTTGGGCGCCGATATGTCTTTCGCAACTTGGGACAGAACGACACAGGACAGAACTTTTGCTCTTTGCATGATCGTTAGGAGAACATGGTGTAGCTACGCGTGAGTGCCTAGGTCTCCAATTGTTGGATGTCAAAACTCAAAACAACACAGTGGGACCAGGTAATTATGGGGCAAAGAGGATGTTTGGTCTTGCGCGATGGAACCAGCGGAGTTCCAACAGCGCCCAAGTTGGGTTTTTGAACGCTTTGGATTTGCTTCAGGACTTTCCCGGCCACCTGAGGTCCCAGCCCCCAGCCAAGTATCCCAACAGCTCGATCTCCCAGGCTATGAATGCCAGCGCTGCCACCGGCTGCAGCGCATCCCACATCCCATGTGGCGCTATCAGGCCACGCCGACGGACTTTTCGAGCTCTACCTGGGCTTGCCACCAGGCGGGGTGTTCCTGTTTTTGCGCGCGCGCCCAAGTGGAAGGGTTTGGAATCCGGAGCTAGGATCCACTGGGTTTTCACAGCTGTCCCCTTACATGTCCCCTTTCAACATGCTGGTTTTCGACAATGAATGCTTTGCACGACCATTGACCATTGGAGATCAGTGATCTGAATTCTCCCTTGGCCCATTGGTTCGCTTCCCAAGCTGCAAGATGAGTGTTTGGGGACCCCTCACCCCGACACTCTGGATGCAGAGTGATGTGGAGGGAGAGTTACATTGTACCACTCATCAAACCAATGACAGTGCTTTCAGACAGCATGTCAAATCACTTTAAACATATATATATATATAGGCATATATAAGTAAGCCTATAATCAGTTCTATAATCATATCAAAAAGATGCAACGCGGGAACGCATAAAATCCTTGTTTACACGAAGCGAATTAATGAAACACGAGTCATCATTTATATTCATTGTATTCATTTGTATATTGTATATTTGCCAGGGTTCCAGCCTGCCAGGGATTTGATCCTTGAGATCAGTAGAGGTGACCAAATGATCCTATGTATAGCAGCGGTTCAGGCTTCCTTCCCCATTTTCCACCCCGACTGCCCATCGCCAGGGCTGTGGTGACTACACCACTTGGCGCTTGGCACCCGAGGATGTGGGCCAGGTGGGCAGCCTTTCGTGCACCGAAGCTCCGGTGATCGATTCGCTGGAGAGGTGCCCGACATGGAATGTCCCGAGTCCTGGGGACGCCGAGAAGAATGGCTGGAGCAAGTGCGACGGCTGAGGTGGGAGGACTCAGGACGCACGTGGATTTGGTTCGGTCATGAGGTCAGGATGAGGCAGTGGGTGGAGGCCGAAGACTTGGAGGATGCGAAAACCGGAAGGCCATGTTGTCACAAAGTTTAGCGACATCACATTCGTCTGAAGGTGGCCATCGTGTTGTGGCACTCCTGCCAATGGACGAAATCCTGTATATGTCTTGAGGTGGTGAGAAACCTTCTCCCTCAACAAGTACCCGGACGATGCGTGACGCTGACAGTGACAATGCTGGTGGTTGGTTCTACTATAGCACCCGCGCACCTCCCTGTTTGACCGTCGCTTTTTCCGAGATGAACCGGGGCGGACCGGGAAGAAACCGAGGCATTCGGGACAGCGCCCTGAGACTTCACCACGCTGTGTGGTCAGCTAAGACGAGGCTACAGCTTTGGGACATGTTGGGATGGTTGGGGCTTGCTTAATTCATGTGATGCCTTCAATCCTGAACAACAGACACATTGGCGTATATATAACTTATATATATATATTATTAATATAGATGGCATTTTTTGTGAAGACGAAGTGGCGATGAACCGCACTTTGGTGGAATGTGAGTCGGAGTGTGGTCTCTCTTGCCATAGCTGTGAACAAGTTGGGCATTTGCACAGGCCAACAGGACATAGGTCAGAGCCTCCAAGAAAACATGAGTGATGCATCATCAGATTGCCGCAGATCACTAAAAACTGCATGCGGGCCTCCGCGTCGTCGGGTGCACCGCCGGTTTTCTCTGATCGACGCCATTGGACTGGATCGATCTGACAGCGGCTGGACCGGCGTTTGGACCACCGACTAAACACCTGCAGGATTGCACCACAGACCCTGCAATCGGTCTTGCTTGCTGAAGGCAAGACTCCGGCGATGGAAGTGGCTTGGAGGCTGTAGGAGGATGGAGAGGTCTGCAGATCGAGGTGCAAACAAATGGATGTACTTATATTTACTTACTGTAACTACTTATTATACAACTTGAAGCTCCAGCTCGGAGTTCAAGCTCATGGTCTTGGAAGGGTTTGCAAGAAACTTTGAGAAACATGATGTCAGGGATGCCACTGAAGCACGTGCAAATGATATGCCCTTATAACCACCTAAAAGTGGCATGTGCAAATGATCGCCAGATGACACCCCTTCATGCAGTGTTAGTGTTTGGATTTGAGTTGAAGCTTTTCTCTTTGTTAGGCCGAGGCCTTAGCAGCAGATGCACTTTTTCGGCGGCCCAACGCACAGTCTGCCGAAAAAGAGCCGCCCGTTGCGCATCTTGACGGGATGAAGGGCCTGCCGGTCCATCGTCTTGAACATCATAGGTCACTAGGTGCAACATGGTGCAACTAGCAGTTTCTTGAAGGCCATCGCTACTAGGTTGGAGGCCATCGCTACTAGGTGGAGGCCATCACTGTTAGGTTCCTCAAAGCAAATTTGAGGTTTACTGTAAGCCTTGGGGTTCAGACACTTCGTGCGCGCAGACTTGCTGGTCGTGGTCACCTGGACGTGGGATGAAGTACTGAAGCCGTTCGAGTTGTAGAGGTTCATGTGCAGCGCCACTTCGTGGCTGCAGAGGTAGGAACAAATCCAACTTCACGGGTTTCTCAGTGTATTTGGTCGCAATGTTTTGAAATACCCCAGGCAATACCCAGCGCAACACCGGGACGCACTAGGGCCATTAGAATCATCAGATGAGATCTTCCCTGACACTTTTGATATTTGATAAACCTTGCTTGGAGGGATTAGGGAAGCGACCATGCTAGAAGTGCCTTATGTTGGACAGATGGCAGAAACAGGACCAACATTGGACTGGGCATCCATTCGAGAAATCTTTGGCACCTTTGTTGCCTGTGATCTACTTTGAAGCCACTGGATGCTGCATTGGTCCCCCTTTTCATGCCTTTTCATGGTCCACCTGTGGCGGCTTCCCTTCGAAGTTCTGCCGCTGCAGCTCCAAAGAAAGGCTCGAAGAACGACGGGTCTGAGCGAAGCACGAAGCCCATGGCCTTGCCGTCCGTTCCTGCGAGGGTCAGAGTGAGACCTGGACGAGCATATGTCGACGGGACAACCCGCTGCATCGGAAAGCACGCACCGGAGTCGGCGGAGAGGACCCGAGGCGTTTTTCCACCAAGTCATTGATAGAAGTGGACGAATCCCCGGGGCTGGAAGATTGATCGGTCGACCGACCTGGAGTCCAAACCAACTGACCCTTCATCAAGCTACTGACAGTGTCAGCCTATGACGATCGGAGGGTCGACCAAGCTGGCTACTGCGTACGGAAACGTCCCTCCCTGTAGGGTGGCATCCTGAGGGCCTAGAACAGGTCAATGTCAGACACCAGCACCTACCCATGTGTGTAGGAATCAGACGGAATCAGATGAATGTCCCAACAGAATTGTGAAGTGCTCTTTGTCGCCTCCTATTTTTGATTTTTGTTTCGGACCCCCACCTTTCCTTTGCTTTGGTCACCTCAGGGTGAACACCTTCATTGAGTCTGGGCAGCAACGTGCGTCGAGCTTCCATGGCGGGCGCCATGGGGTAGTTGAGGGTGGGAAGGACCAGGGCATGGCAATTGTTCGACCCAGTTTCTCTGGAAGTTTGGGGTGTAGCCTATTTTGGAGCCAATTTTTCGGCCAGGTGTGGATTGCATCTCCATATGGTTTCCGGGTTTGCCTGGGTGTCCTCCAAGTTGAGTACCGTGAGAGTAGTTATGGTTGATGTGACAGGGGCAGAGGGCTTTTTCAAGAATCATGTCCTGCATGCCTCCCGTTGTGAGGAACCGGCCCAGAACAGTTGACTGAATCACATGCAGTGTTCTCGAAGTGGATCTCGAAAGAGAGCTGCCGATCTGATCGCTGCCTTCCACCTTCCGCAACATAGACTCCGACATCGACCGGGTTTTGCGGCCTAAGGATGACTTAGTAGGTGACGTCCTTTTCCCTATGAGTCTATGAGTGAATTCCCCTTCATGGGTCGGTCTTCCAAGTTCCTCTTCGTTCCTCTTGGTCACCCAGCTCACCAGGAAGTGGACTCCGACGAGGAGGATGCAGCGAACGTCTCGCCCATCAAGACGGAGCCGGTGAAATCCTTCGCAGGCGGTCGGACAAACATCAGAAGCTTCTTGTTCCTAGTAGTAATGCCAGGAGCTACTAGTAGCGTCCTTGCTCCTAGTAGTAAGGCCAGGAGCCCCTAGTAGCTTCTTGTTACTAGTATCTGCTTGTTCCTAGTAGTAACCTTTCGTAGCGTCCGATCGCTCCGTTCGTAGCTTCTTGCAGATCGAAACGAGAAACATCAGAGCTAATGGGAACACCACAAACCGACGATTGCCACGAACACCACGAAGGATTCGAACACCACGCATGTCGCATGTCGGTCACACATAACTTTGACCTTTTTCTGCTCTCTTTCTGCTGGAGCGGGTTTTACAAAAAGACTACGCAGACCAGAGGGTTTTCAGATGTTTTCAGGTCTTTAAACTGTACCTGCAGGTGAACAGCTTGACCCAATTGTTATACTATAATAATATATATATATATAGACTACAACACCAGGTCAAGCTTTCTTTTTTTCCATGATTTTGGAAGGCTAGGGAAGAAGCACAGATCACATGGGATGAATGACCAAAGTGCCTGAGTCTTTAACAAGAACCGTGGACTCCTTGCAAGTCAAGACTCCATAGTCTCAGTGCCTTGCTTCATGCCGTCGCCTTGCTTCGCCCGCTGTGGCAACGGGCTTCGCAAGTTCGGATGTGCAGGTAGTTCCGCTGGCCAGCCCGCTGCCGGACCCCCAGAACCAGCATCCACCGGGTGAGGAGGATAGAATAGAGCCCGGAAAGGGTCAATTTCCCTCTCTAGAGCCTCAAGTACCCTTTGAGGTGTTTGAGGTGGGTTTGGAGCGTGAAAATAACCTTCTGAGGAGGTACGACTGGAGCCAGCGACAATTCGATCAACTGCGGCCGATTGTTTACATGTTCCAGTTTCATCCCTTTGCCCCCTGAAAAGTGGATGGCAGTGTGTCCCGTATGAAAAACATTGAACAACCACTATTGCCCTAATGGGTAGTGCAACTGTTTAGGACGTTCTTTCCTGGGGTATGTGAACACCAAAAATCACCAAGATTCAAGATGAGTAAAGTGAACATCCCCAGAAAGACTTGTAGGGATGTGCAAACGTACTTAAGTGGAAAATTCACCACTTCAGGTTAAGGACCCTCCTTTTTTCCAGTGTCTTGGAGTTTTTTTTCACTCCAATGATCTTGACCAACCCTCTCCGTCGAGGACGTTCCTTCCAGGAAGACCCCCCCCTCACCCAGCTTGTTAGCAATGACACGAATTGCGGCACTTCAGCATTCATGTGGTGATAGGCCGGTAAGCAGGCCCTCATGGGAGTGACTGGATTCTGGGGTCCATTACCTAGTATCACTAGTATCACTTCAGATGTCTTCTTTGGACACGTATGTTTGGAAGACATGAGGTACGAAGGAATCACTATGAAGCATCGGAACATGCCGTTGGTCGGAGATGTGGCGGAAAGGGGTATATGTGCTGCTCCAAGGAAATTTGGCCCGTTTCCAGCTTCAAGCAGACGGCCCACGGCACAAACCGATAGGCTACACTGCAACTTTCAATATAATAACCATTAATAACCTTTATGTTAGTTCCAAGTTCCCTCTTTCGATCTTCCCACAGTAATTATCTTTTGTGCAATCTACTTTGAACCTACTGCGCCCTCCGTCCAATGCGTCCGGGCTCCATACAATGCGTTCAGGCAGAGAACGCGAAAGACGCACCAATCCGGCCGGTCACGCCCAAGATGGACGCTGCTGGGCAGATTTGGGCGAGGTGTGGAGGGAGTTGGGCGAGGTGTGGAGGGAATGTAGTGTTGATTGTTGATGAATCAAGCCTCCCCATAGCAGGATGGCTCTACATCTCCAGGCCTGAACGGCTCAGTAATCAACAGGCAACCTTATAAGATGTGGGTAACTGCATCCTGGACCTCACAGAAGGGCATGTCCCTGTGATGGTTGCGTCACCGTCAGACTGGGAGAAAGTGCACGAGACCAAGCAAAGAAGTGATGAACATTGGGGCGCTGGAGGCTAGGAGAGATTCATGAGTTCATATCAAGTTATGTCATGTAGCTGAGGGGTGCTCACGAGAACTCTCAAATCTCACAATCCCAAAAAGCGAGGGACCCTAGACCCATGCCCATGTAGCGTGTAGCATCATGTAGCTGGTTTGCACTACGGTTCTCCTCATTTTCATCCACCACAGGGATACCGCGGAACCTCCGTTCCACTCGTTTCGCGTCGTCTCGGTGTCTTGGTCCCTCGGTCCCGAGGCCAGAGAAGTGCCGTGCCTTTTGAGGCAATCACTTTGTTCTGACTATGGAGCGCCTTGGTGTTCCCCTGCCTTTGGGAGAGTTATTTTTTGGGGTGAGGTTACGGTTTGTTTTACAGTATCTCTTTTTGTCCGGTTTTTCGCGTCGCTGTTGCGGATTCGCCTGTTTTGTTTTAACATCATGTTGGTTTTGTCTCCTTTGTTGGGGATCCGCGCCCCATCGCGGCCCCCCCTCGACCCGAGCTCTCGGACTGACCCGGGTGGGGTTACGGGAGAAGCGGCCCCGGCCGTTAACCGGCGACGTGGCCGGCCGGCGAAGTTGGAGTGGAGTGGAGTGGCGGTGTATTTATTTAGAGGCTGGCTTTGATCTGACATAGCGCTTCTGAGGAACTCAACCGCCCCCACCAAAGCATGGGAGGTTGACATTCCTGAAAAAAAGTGGATTTGTTCGTGTTCAGGGGTCAACCAGAGTGCCCGGGTGGTGACCCACAGTCTGTCATACTTCAATCACTCTTTGGTGCAGGTCTTGGCTGCTACCTTCTATAGCCGAGGTTGAGAGATGACCTCCACAATGAAAACCGGATTCAATAAAAACACGATAATAAATAATAAATGTGATTTGCACTCTGGGTTTGACGATTCTGTAAAGTTGAACTCACTCAGGGTGTGAAATAGGTAGACTGTCACTGTTGAGGCCACATTGTGACGTGATCCACATAGATCCACAGATTCATGCGGCTAGGAGTTGGGGCGCCATGCATGTGGTCGTTTGCGCTTTTCGTGCGGTCAATTTCTCATCTCATCGCTTAGATCTCAGGTGAAAGTCACCGTCAAGAACACCTTCATAGATGTGGCCTCCGATGAAGAAGGACCAAGTGTTGGGAACGCTCGATTGTTTGCTCGTTTGTTCGTGACTGCGACTGGTCTCTTTGATGCGCTTTTGTTCTGCAGAAAAGACATGTTTGCAAGGACCGTACTAGGTAGGACTCTCCAAGCACGCCTTCCGCCGCGTTGGCACATCTAACATCATCTAACACATGCGGGCTGATCATGCATCCCAGAATCTTTGTCTTGCTGCCTTGATGTACCGATCTTCCTTCAGTTGGATAGGAATCCCCAGGAGGATAACTTGCGAGGCATTGACATTGCCAGCTCTCTTTCGTATCCGCAGCAGTCTGGCCGTACTCAGGATCGCAGGTCCAATGTCAAACAGGATTCGGCCATACGAGACCGCTGGATGACGCGTGCGCTCGTATTCGCGTCAGGAGAGGATGGCGATGAGAAAATCACCTTTGCCAAGATCAAGTCTGAACCAGCTGGGGAGCTCGGTCTGGGCCATGCCCAGGACACTTGGTGTGACGCATCCATACCTGGACACCTCCTGTGCTCCAAGTGATGGATGTGAAAACCCCCAGGACGGTGGCCAAGGCCACCGCGCTGCGTCGCACCGCCGCCCGGCCCTCGCGACGAAGCACGCGGTGCGACGCGAGGTCCATCCAACGCCTTTGTCCCCGGAGGGCGAGGTCCAACGACGGACCTTTAGGGCGCTACCCACGCAGCAGGAGAGGGGGTGATGAGGGGCGCCAGAGAGGGTGAGCTAGAAAAGGAAGTCCAGGTGGGGCATGCTCCTCGTTGGCTTCGATTGAGCGGTTCGGTTTCAAGGACTGAGCCACATTCATCCAGATTCAACATTGCCAAATTTCACCTTCCAAGAGCCATCACCACCTGCAGCTCCACAGTCAGCTGCTCCACGGGTCATTTGCACCCGAGCCCCTATTTCTCCGTAATCTTTCCGCACCCCAAAAAAAGCTAATCCGGATGCTATAGGCTATATATAGGCACTATAATACATGAATCTTAAGATCTTACCCGGACCGGAGTGGGCCCGGTTGTCCCTCAGATCCGCAGGAAGAGGAAGAAGAGCACGACGAGCTCAGCTCGCGAAAAGTCGCCGACGACGGTGTGGCGGCCTCGCTCGGTGTGGCCGGGGTGCCGAGGGGGTGCTCCTGGTGACCTGTCCGGGGAAAGCATCCACGACATGAAACTCCTGGTGGTCCTGGTCTTGGGTCGCCTACAGTAAGGAAATGCCAGGGTATTGGGGACCACCCCACTCAAATCCAGTTTCTAAAGTTCGGTTCACCTGTCCGGGAGGGGTCAGGGAGGGGGGTTACCTGGGTTCAATCTCATCCCTTTGGTGCCTAAGAAGCGGGGAGTTCTCAGGATGCGAAGATGGTGGGAACTCCCTTCAATGGTTGATTTCAGCTCAACTTGCCACCAATGTTTTATCACTCAGTGATGGGCGTTGCATGTTCTTTTTTTTCTGTTAAGAGTTCAATGTTTTGAACTCAAGCTGTTCGCTCTATCAGATATGGGATGTGACGATGTGAATCATCTGGTCATGGTGAGTTGGGTAATTCGGGCCTTATTCTTTTAGCATTTTGCTGTGAGGCTTCAGGTTGATCAAGTATAAAGGGACTAAAGATGGACCAAGTTTATGTTTGATCTGTGTTTCAGTGATGTGGTGTGTTATAAGTAGATCTGACGCAGATCCGGATATGGACGGAGCACTTGCTTCCATTGCGGCATCACGCGCGTCTGGTATTTGACGACACCGGTTTACACCGGTTTACCGATTTACACCGGTTCACACCGGTTTACCGACTGCGCGCAGCATAGGAGAGGTCCATGGCAACAAGGGTTCGGCCCGTCCAAGATCAATTAGTTTTGCTTTTACTCTGGTCGTCTAGTATTGTGTCAAGGCCTATGTTCACATCCCATTTCCACCCCCATGTCCATTCAAGCCAATGGTTCCTCAAGGTCGATAGTCGGGGTCGTTGTTTTTGCAACCTCGTCGGTCTGTAGTCTTTTGAAGGGTTGTCGGCCATACAAACGACACTCAGAGATACTTATATATAGCCATATAGCTAAAGCTGTTGTACACAGATGAGAGACGATGCCCTCTTGATGGCAGCCTTCCCAGAACATCACATGATTTCGCTTTCGAAGACATGATAGAACGACTACACGCCGCAAATCGTAAACATCTCTAAACCCAGCAAACCTGTAAACCCGCGTAAACCCGTAAACCCGCGTAAACCCGCGTAAACCCGCGTAAACCCGTAGACCAGCGTAAACCCGTAAACCCGCGTAAACCCGCGTAAACCCGCGTAAACCCGCGTCATCAAATTCAGACACATTTCCCGCTGCACTGCTTGCTTCCTTCCTTCAGTCGAGGTCATTGTTCCCTTGAGCATACGGCAGCCTGAAGCCTCAGTGGGCTCAGCTCACCACGGGATACAGTGCAAGCCCTGCTCCTGGTTTTGGCCACTCGGACGAAGCACGAAGCGAACTGCGCGGAAGCGGTGAACGGGTGCCGTTGAGGTCATTCGAAGTTGTGAGAGCTACCAGAAGGAAAAGCCGGAAGTGAGGGGCGTTTGGGCCCTCGAAGTATTGATGAAGTTGCCAGACCTCAAGGGAGAAATGGCGCAGTGGAAGGAAACTGGAGCATTTCCGTCAAGACCCCAGCTTTTTTAACGTTTTTTAGTTGAATTTAGGAGGGATGTATCCGATTTCCGGGTGGCTCACCAAGCTAGACTGTGAAAGTGCTTCGGAGCTGAAGGCGTCTTTCCTGCTAGACAGGAGGAGTGACAGGAGATTATGTATCTGAGAGCCCGAAGATGTGCAAATCCAGAATAGGAGGTCCTACCCCGAAACCCGTGGACGTTCCGAAGTCGAATCGGCTACGGTTCGGAAAGCGTTTCGTCAGGCGACCCCAGGGTTGCTTCAACTCTCGTGACTGCGCGCATTGTCACATGTGCTTGCCTGGGGAGCTGCGACTTGTCACGCATTGGTGCCTTCTACTCTGGCAGGGGCGGGCCAGTTGTGGGGGTTCAGGATGGGCACAACGTGAAGGGCAACATGAAGGAAGGACCACATGCACACTCCCTCCTAATATAATATAGATTTGACGAACTGGAGACACATTGATGGTGCTGATGATGTAGGTATCCTTGCGTGACATTTTCTACGTCTTTGGATAGCCAGTCAAGAATGCGGTACAGAACCTAGTGAATTCGCTACAGACATTTTTCAGATGCCTCGTGCATGCTTGCAACTGAGAAAGCCAAAAAGGAAAAGGCCACCAAATATGCTGGAAGGTGTGTTGCAATTCATGAATGAGTAATTTGAGTTGGCAAATCAAGATGGAAAAGCCGGGGCCTTGTTGGGGCTGTCGTCCTCCGGAAAAGCAGGCTCCGGCTGTCCAAACACCCGGACGGCACAGCCTGCGGCTCTACTGCCGTGGTTCTCCGATGTGTCGAGGTAGTAAGCCCCGAGGTGGTTGATATGACTCTCCCGCAAACTAATGTAGACTCTTGATATCTCTTGACTAATAAACCCCTCTCATTCGAATTGTACATGCTCTTCTACCTCCCTCGTTTCAATGATCCGCCGTCTCTGCCCCTGTGGGCGGTCATGAAACGCCACCGCAGACACGCAGGGTCTACCGGCAGCACAAGTGAACCAAAGTGAAAAGATCGACGACCTAAAATGAAAGGAAGATCACAGAGGAAATTCCCAAGTGGAAAGGTGTTTACTACAGCCCTGGTTGCACAAAGACGCAAACTCGAAAAGTTCATCGTGTGCAAACCTCGGTATGGCACCGACAATGGCGCCCTGTAGAAGAGCTTTACCTTCGGTCTTAAGACGACAGTTGTCTGCGTGTCCTGGAAAGATGGGAAAGATGCCGTGATTAGGCAGCTTGTTAATGAACACAATAGCTCTTCTGAGCCAATACGTCAAGTCTCGAAATGTGGTGTCACTTGCAGAACATGCACGTAAAAAGAAGCCACGCTTCCAAAACAAAAAGGCAAATTCAACGTAAGCGGTGCAGACATCTCCCGAGACACGCCATTGCAGCGATGTGGTGAAGTCAAAGAACGGGGTCAAGTTTACCCAGCGACCCTCGTGGTTGTTCAATACGGAGATTGGACGTCCACTGGAACAAAGAGGGATCTTGGATCCAATCCCACCTGGGAAACCTGGATCGAAGGTCAACCGGCGCAGGATCCGCTCCACCGATATTTGGTGTTGGTTCATCATCTTTTATGAAATCGCTGCCAATTGTGCGATTCCACCTTGCAAGAAAAATCTGCCTGTCAAAAACTTTCTTACGCAAGTGCTGAAAATCTTCCGGAAAGACAGGAGCATTCTGCATGGCGGTGTCTTTGGCAACCCTATCTGCCTCACGGTTGAGAAGGATGTCCAATCGTGTGGTGTTGTGTTCAGCCGCATACTGGTCTGTGATTTCAGAGTCGGCACGATCATCTGCGATATGAGCCGGCACCCAAACTAGCTTAACAGGTTGGGGATGCTGACGTTGTCTACGCTCAGCAATGGTCCACAGAGCTCTCCACCAAAAAATGTGACAAACACTGTCCAAAGGTTCTCGATGAAGAAGGAGCTGATGGAATTGGTCAACAATAGATTTGCAGTCCGTATGAATGACAATTGCTGCGCTGGAAAGAGCAGTTGCTTTATATATGGCAAACAACTCAGCAGAATATGATGTGAGCTTTGGTGATTGTACAGGTCCAGTATCAACTGTTCTTCCGAAAGCATCAATGATACTGTACGCAGCTGTTGTCAACCAATATGATTCAGCTAGAAAAACTGAGCCATCTGTCCATACATGCTGGGTGTCTGCGTCGGCAACGAAAGGAGGGGAAATGTCACCTTGTATGGATGTAAATGCCAACCGATGTTTGGCAATTCCGACCGGATGATCGACTAAGCCAAGCAACTGGAAGTTAGGTCCCAGTTCATGCAGTGGAGGTTGGAGTCACAATAACCAGCTGCAGCACGCCGGTCTCTTGTGATTGAACACCCTACAGTCTGGGACTCAAAGTGCGCTGTCAAGTCGAGTGCCTTGTCGAATGGCTTAATATAAAGCTGCGAAAAGGATTTGAATAATGCAACATCCAAAAATCCAGATGGTTTTGACAAGTCTTTTCTTGATTGATCGGCAGCACGTTCATAGCACCACTGCGTACAGAGAGTACATAGCAGCGGCTTTATGTCTCTGACACCAACTTCCAGTACAGGGATGTGCGTGCTTGCAAAAACAAGGCAGCAATCTTCAGACAAATGCAGGCGAAAAAGTGCTAAGGCATCCTGGACTCGGGCAAGAAGACTATGCTTGCCTAACGTGTGATTACGCAGCATATCACAGCACTGCTGCACACGTTCTGGATGTGCATGAATAAAACGCCAGAACTCAGAAATCGTTGAACATGCTCGTGCACACGTTGGTTCAACTCGAAAGGCCTTAGTCAGCAAAGCAAAAACAAGCATCTTGGAACGCCAATGTGGCCTAGATCCCCAGAAGACTTGGGCAATTTCACTCTGGATTTTATCTAGTGCTCGCTTTGGAATCTTTGAGACCTGCGAGGCAAAAGAGATCTGAGGGAGAACCTTACATCCAACCAGAAATTCTTTGGTTTGTCTGGGGATGGGGAGGTTGGCAATGTTGCGTATATCGGCCACAACTTTGTACAACTTCTGTTGATCAAAGAGGAAATGCTCCCTCTCAGACGTATACATTTTTGCCCCCAAAACATCAAACTCAAGAAAGAGAGGCAATGAGGGGAAGTTCTGTTTGGCGATTTGGCGAGCATTTCCGCTCGTCGCCCAAAGTACACTCTTAGAGTGATTGAGCTTCTGACCTACCACAACACCCCATTGCTCAGTCATTTGAAGGGCGCGCGCAAGATCATTCACATGGTTAATGTGGACCCATAAGTAGGCATCATCGATGAAGACTCGTGAGACCACATGTGGGATATGTTCAGTAAAGGTCGCCCAAATATGCATGTATGCATTGATTGCGAGGAGTGAAAATGAACATCCTTGTGCAACTCCATTTGCATTTGTGACACTCTGCTTGGAGATCCAACCACGGTATGAGAGGTGCTTGCGCAGTCCTCTGTAGATCAAAATGAAAACATTGACAATTCCCTTCGGGACTCCCAAGGCCAACATGAATGCACCTGCAATGGAGGGTACAAGTCGGTCAAAGCACTT